AGGTTAGATCTCTCACTTAGATTATTATTTGGTACTTCATACGTAAAACTAATTTTGATTGGATGTCTTGATGGAAGTTCAGGGCAGTCCCACTAGTCTTGATGAATACAATAAAGTTGTTATGTTGCCACTGACTGCACAATTTCACTCCTGACGTGTTCCATTGTACAGGAGTTGACAGGCTGGACAAAGACCTTACTATTGGACAGATGCAAGGTAAAGAGGACCCATGGAGATTTTATCCTGAGGTTCCAGTTTTCATTCATGTCACGTCATACACTGTAGAATACAGCACACAAACTTCAATCATATCCATGATCTTACTGTTTGTCCACAGGGAAATTTCAGATGCAAGTCCTCCCCCAGTGTGGTCATGCTGTCCACGAGGATGCACCTGAAAAAGTAAATAGTATTCACCTGAACATATACTGTGCTTTATGTATTAGCATATGATGGTTTGGTTCAGATTATGTTTTTCTTTTATTGGCTTCAATGGTTCTTTGTCCATTTAATCAAGATCAGTTTGTTGGTATTTTTTTTTAACCTCTGTTGTCTGTTGTTAGGTAGCAGATGCTCTAGCAACATTTATGGTCCGGCACAAATTCACTGAGTTTAAGGAAGGATATCTGTGGTAAGTGAACCTCCTACCAAAGAATGTGCACATCTAACAAGATTTTTTTTTTACATTTTCAAGCAGTTTATTGATTTTAATAAATCTCATTTGAAATATTTTTTTGCGTATTTAATATAAAATACACTGAAATATTGGACAAAATCAAAGTAAAAAGGACAGAACATAGAACTGCAGTTTGCATTCTTTGGTCTTTGGAATTTATAAATTAAATTAAATTGTTTTGTTTAAAGAAATTAGGTCATAGTTGCAATAGTGGAGATGTAGAGTCTAAATTCTCTTCTTTTAATCCATTGTCTTTACTTTGTTTTTCTACAGCTAATCTCCAGTTTTCAGTTTGAATATAGCCAGCAGCCATGGAAGAAATGTTTCAAGAGTCATCAACATCATCGTACAATTAAACAGAAAATTAAAGAAAATATAACAATTATTATTATTATTATTATTATTATTATTGCTTTGGTTATGTAGATACTTTGCCTTTCAGCTTTGCCTTATTTTTATTTTCAAACACTGGGATTTGATTGTATTTTTCCTTTACAATATTATATTTTTTTTATTATTTCTGGAACTGTAATGCTCTCCTTGTTTTAATGTTATAATTTGAGTGAATGCATCATTGTTAATATGTGTTTGTAATGTTTGAATTCAAACAATTAAAGATGGATACAGCATACAAATGTTCCCCATGCTTGTATATTTGCTATGTGTATCAAAAAGACATCATGATCATTTTTCAAACTTGGCTTTCACTTAACAGTGTCGTCTCATCTTGAAATTCAAAGTGCCAGTAATATGAACAAAAAATACATTCATCAAACCAAAGCTCTTTGATCTGGTACTTTACTTAACATGACACCATCTAGCAAGATAGCAAGTGACCAATGCAAGGGGAAATCGTATAAAATGAGTGTCTATTCTAGTTTTCTAGTTTCTCTTTACACTTATGATGAAATTCACATTTCCCATACACAAATGTATAATACACACTTTGACTTCAACTTACACAATGAAATTTCAGAATGTGTTGAGACAACAAATCTTTTATTTCCAAAGCAAGAGATGAAGCCTAGCTTACATTCAAGGCATGGATCTCACTCGAAGTGACCATTGATTATTACAGTTTTGTACACATGAATAGATAGTGACTGCTTTTTGTGCTGCATCAATGGTTCGGCTTGAAGGTCGGAATCAGATTGTTAGATTGAGGTTTAGCTTTCTTGACTCAATTTCAAATCTCTTAACTGATGTTATGAATGTAGGCATCTTTTAATGTAAATGTCTCTTTATCTAAATATAAGAATTCATTCCACCCTACTCTTCCCTCCACTGTTAGATACTGATACTTGTTTAAACATTTTTGATAATTTTTTTTGGGCAACACACTTATGAATACAGTTTTTTTTTTCTTATCCCAATTTATGATATTGGGGCTTTATTTCATTACTGAAAATGTTCCATTCTCATTCATATTGCAGCTATTTGTAAAATTTGTATTAGCAAAGTAAAGATTGTACTAAAATTCAGTTTGGTCAAACTAGTGGAGAAAATTACTTTTCTGTTCTGTTCTTCATAAAAAGAGGAATTTTTATAATGATAATGATGATGTTGATGTATACCTGACCTTCCTCCTTTTTTCAGTTCTCATGTCAACTGATGAAAATCTCATGTATTTTTGCATGTGAAATATTTTACATACTGTATTTTTTCAGAATTGTAGCTTCATGCACAACTTTGAAACAACAGTAGTAAGATGTATTAAGCATTTCTTTTAAAAATTTGTGCTTCAGAGCATCCTAAAGAAGGGAAACAAGACATGGTCTCCTGCAGTTGGTTAACAAAACAGGATCCAGCAGAAAAAGAAGTGGAAAAAGTTGCAGTTTTCTAAACTTTATGACATAGGTGACATGTTTTTCATCATGTTCCTGGTGAACTCTAGGGAATGATATGCAGGTGTTAATTGTCCCTCCATGGATCAGCACGCTCAGAAATACAGTATGTTGCAAAATATAAACATTTGAATTATTAATCAGCTGTAATGACTGTCCTCCAAAGAGTTAACGCTGCTGAGATCATTCTGTGATATGTGAACAGTTCTGAACAGGGACAGAGGTTTTTTTGGTTACGTCATTTTGGGCCTAATTATCATTCAAAGATACATCCCAGGATGCACTGGGGCACATTCTCAGTGATGTTTCCATAGGCCATAAGGTCTTTTGGGTCTTTCAGCATCATACACCCTTGCTCAGGTTTAATCAGACCCTGGCTTGTGTCCCAGCAGTATTGGTCCACGGACCACTGCTCCTGATCCAAAGCCATGAAGAGGCCATCTTTGCAGCCTACATGGTGGACTTGATGGCTTTAGTTTCTACAGCCCCAGTGATGACAAATAGAGTGCAGACCTTAGCCTCTATACCCCACTCCAATAAGCTCACAGCAAGCCTTCTAGCCTCCAATAAGAAATGAAACTTGTCCACAACTATTCCCCTCTTCAACACCATGGCCTTAGATTTGCCAGGTTTGAAACTCATCTCTGCCAAAGAGGTGAGCTTTTACAGGTCCAGGAAAATCCACCTACCACCAGGCATTGATGAAATAGTGACAGCGAGGTCATCCATAAAGGCTCTCACTGGAGACTGCCAAATGCCAGACTTGGATAGAGAGTGTCTGCGCTCAGCTTGATGAGCTTGAAGTTCCCCTAGTAGTTCAGGATGAGGTCCTTGATACATGGTATTGGTCCAGGGTAGTTTCGACCAGTTAATATAATGAATGAACAATATTCTGTGGTTAATACACATTTTCAACAAAGCCTGATGAACACTAGATGAACTAGAAGCTGAGAAATGCAGGATTTAGTGGACAAGATAGTAGCAACACCTTTGCCACATAGGTCAGCAAACTAATTCTGTACAGTAACTATATCTTTGTGAGTCATGTTGTGATTTAGTCATAATAGCTTCAATATAAATACAGTAGCATGTACTTAAATTTAATTGTTTTTAAATTATTTTTCTTGGAGGAAATAATAACAAATCTATCATTTTTGTTTTACTTGTCAATCACTGTTAATCACACACCTCCATTCTCATGAACATGTAGGAGCTGTCCAAAGTGCTGTGGTGCTGAAATACCTAACGGTCAGAATGAAGGAGAAAAAAGATATGGGTTTGTCTGCACAAGTTGTCTCACGTACAGCTGCCATTTTACTTGAACAATGACCATCACTGTCAAACATATTAGTGAAATACTGTATCTCAACAGCATGGATTACATGAAATTTGACACATACATTCAGGGTCTCCAGAGGATGAAACTATATAATGCTGGTGAGGCTTCACCTAGCTCTACCAACAGCTTAAAAACTGAACTGCATTTGCCCAGTACTTGAGTTTATGACAGCATACCTAATGAGAAAACTCCTGTCAGCCTCAGCTCTACTTTGAGTGTGTTACACTAACATGCTAAATGTTAGCACAGCCAACTATACCCATGTTAAACTGCAAACTGTGTGTTAGCAGGTTTACATGCTTACTTTAGAAGCATTAGCATATATTTTCTGCATATCAGTGCCATGTGAGGAAAAACATCTACCTAGTGGAGAATATCACAATGGCCTCTTCATGTGAATGTGGCATACACAACGACTAAAGGTAGGATAAATGGGCCACACAAATTAGTTTACAACTACATTTAATTTATTGTTTACTATAAGGACAGACTCTAAGCTCCTCTGGTAGTTCTGATGACTAAAACAATGAGTACCTTAGTCTAACATCTGCCTGTCATTAAGTACTGTACCCCATCTTCTCAGACCCTTTTTATATCATAAACTATTTAAAGTAAACATTCTCTGCTTTAACACAGAACTTCTCAAATTCGTAGGCTACTCCTTCAAAGAGAGAATAACCAATGCAGAGCTTTGACTAGTTGTTAAACTGACTCATATGATGATGTCAAGATTACTTATAAAAAGTAAATGATCAGCTGCAGCCTGATTCACTTCTTAGATTTGTCCACCAAGATTCATTGTCAACTGGAGTCAGACCAAACTGGTGGCATGTAAGTAATATGTCTCAAACAAACAGTAAATGTATTTATTATGCCTTTTACTTCATATATTTGATATAGTACTGAAGTAGTTAGTTTATTGTGATACTGATACTAATTGTTGTATGTTACTATTTCTTAGTATTTTTAACTCCTGAATATTGTGGCTTTGATTCAGGCCATTATGCCAACTTAAGATATTTCTTCAATTAATAATCCTAAACAGGCTTCACCATTCAGGACTGTTCATAATGTTGATTAAGGTCTGTCTGATGTGTTTGTGGATGCTATGCCTTTACAGACACTGCATGAAGCTGTGATCATGAATGACACAAGAGAGGTAACCCAGACGGTGTCATATCAGACTCCTGTCAAAGGTTTGCTGTCTATGCTGCCATGTCTTTTCTTCCTGTATGTAAATGGAGTCATGCTGTTTGCCCTGCTGAGAAAGCCTCTCTTACTGGAGTCCTCTCGCTACATCCTGTTTGGTCATTTGCTCTTCACTGACTCTCTGCAGCTTCTAGTCACCATGTTGCTGTACATCTTTGCTGTGACCATGGTCAGAATGATCAGTTATGTTTGTATTATTGTCACAATGCTTGCAGCCATCACTGTTAAAATGTCACCCCTTAACCTCGCTGTCATGTCTTTGGAGAGGTATGTTGCCATTTGTTTTCCACTGAGGCATGCTGATATTACCACTACTAGGACGACAGGCATGGCCATCGCTGTTATGTGGACAGTGGCCTCTCTAGAATCGTTCACCCAGCTTTTCTTGTTTGTCAGTATCGAGAACACAAGCTTCACTGTGTCAAGGTTCTGCACCAGGAACAATGTCTTCCGCCTCGAGATTTATTCAACTTTAAACAGGGCCTTCACCATTATGCATTTTCTATTGGTGAGCATGATAATCATATATACATACATTGCTATCATGATTACTGTGAAGTCAGCCTCTTCTCATATCCGTAATGCCAGTAAGGCTCACAGGACAGTGCTGTTGCATCTGTTTCAGTTGTGCATGTGTCTCACTTCTACTTTGTTTAATATGATTAACACATATGGTATGTGGAACATAAATCCTGCCATGGCCATTCATATTCAGTATGCCCTCTTTTTAAGTCTCATCATTTTCCCTAAGTGTTTGAGCCCACTCATATATGGCCTCAGAGATCACACCTTCAGACACGTCTTCAAGTACTATTTTACCTTTGGCTTCAGAACCACTGTGAGGCCAGTTACTATGGCTTAATTTCAGATAAAGTCATTGTGTTATTTTTTTTCTTGCACATTCATGTTCAGTAGAAATGCAAATTTATATTTGCAGTCAGCAACTTTCATTATTTGTGTCATTTAATACATGACCAACTGTAAGACAAATCAGATTGTGGTAAAAAATTTTAAATGTTTTAAATCATTACAATTTTTTGTCTGTTTCTTTCAGATGATCGCAGATGATACTGGTTATTGATAAGCACATTTAGTCACAACAATATAGAGTTATGAATTCTGAGAAATAATGTCTTAAATCATCCATCATATGTATCATTGTGATGAAGGATTGACTCAGATTTTACTGATTTGAGAAGTGCAGCAGCTTTTCAATCACGTCTTCTCATTTGTGTACAAAATTACATATTGCACACAAGGTTCACCCTTAATACAGCTTTTTTGGTGAACTGTGTGTTGTGTAAATAAAAGACAATCATTAAGCATATCTTGATAATCCACCGAAATTATGAAACTGTTGTGTCAAATATCTTGACAGTTTCACAAATTCATAATCACTCTCCATCATTTATTTGTACAATTTATGATAATTATAAACATATTTATGTTTTTTGTAATAAGGAGTCAAATCATGTAATGAGCCAGAGCCATTGAATATGGTATTGGAAGTGTATGGTTTACTAAAGGGTTGTTTTAAGCCACAATTTCTTTCTTTTTTCATACATGCAATTACTTGGTTTTATTGATGTATGGTCTTGTTTGTTAAGTAATATCAGTGATAGCTCTAAGGAAAATAAACACAAAAATATGTTTCTCATAACTTTCAGCATCTTACAACAAACAGTTTGTAATAAAAATTTCAGAAATCTTTAATTGACAGAGGAGTTTATTAATGTTTTAATTTAATTGTAAAACATTTTGTAACTGCTATTTTGTAAAAGTCCTATCTAACTTTATTATCATCAATAATATAATAATAAAACAATATTTCTGCAATCTCTTTGCTTCTGTAATAAAACTTTAATGACAGAATTTTGATTTTTTTGTGTTTTCAAGGTGAGTAATGAAAAATCATGAAAACTCTGTGAAGAGTAGATACGGTACATATCTGTATTCAAGGTCATGCATTCAGTATCTATGTAGGAAACTGTACAACAAACACTATGTAGCATGTTGTTATCAGTTGTCATAAAACAAAATAGATAACAGTATCCTACTTTAGCAAATTATTTCTATCATCCCTCTGTTGTTGTGATAATTAAGAGCAACACATTCTGAAATGACAAGACACTACGGCACTAATTTGCCAAAACAGATTTACACACAGAACATTTAATATAAAGAGTATAAAATTAAAGTATTAAATATTGGTTTCACAGTTCTTTGAAAAGACCACCAGATGGTGAAGTTTCAGGAGAAGCATTTGAAGATTTTTATATCTATCAAGTATATATTTTCAAATAACAAATATCAGTGGAGTAGACCAGATGATGTGAAATAAGATAAGTCACTGTTTTTAAAGTGTTTGTCTCATAATGTTTAGCTGATTCAAATCCCTCAGGAATTCAATATCCTTATATATTGTAAACATTTAATATGTAACCTGTTTCATACTGATGGGCTTATCATTCATCATAAGGTTATAGCCAATGGTGACACTGACATGAGGGTGATGTTAAGATGTTCAGAGACACATTTTAAAATATGTAAAATGTATCAGGTAAAGTCTAAATCTGCATGTAAAGAGTTCATCCTTTTAGCCAGCAGATGTCACCTTTGCTTTGTAAATACAGCTACAGTACACACTGTGGCTCCAACTGCAGTATTTTCATTTTACTCTGTAGTATGTAAGTGGCTGATACCCCACATGAAGAGACTTCTTTGAGCTTATGAAAAACAGAGATGTTAGCAGGAACTGATAATATTATTGATAAAATTCCTGTCCCCTCCTTTTCTAACAATCCAGATGAGTACTTCTGTTGGAGAAAGGATAGAGATAGAGCAAAGAGAGAGTCCAATTTATGTGGGTAAACAGGGAGGGACGTGCAGACCCACAGAATAAAAGAAGCGTCTGAGCGGGAGGTGGACTAATTTAACCGATCTTTACTCCGCCACAATCCTGAAGCCCTCTCAATATCTCTCTGGCCTTCACGAAAGAGCACTTGAAGGGTTGAAAAACATTCCAGAGAAAGTACCTGGCGACAGAGAGCAGCTTTCACGTCCTCACCCAAGAAAAGGGATTGTGTGGTTTTGGTTTGATAATGGCTAGTTTCATGAACACAGCATCAGTTTTAGTTTTGGTCACACTGGTTATATGTCACTCTTTCCACCTTGTGGTGTTTCTATATAGGGTACTGTGTTCACAAGGAGTGCATCCAGAACAGAGAATTATTTCTGACCAAATGACACAGTTGATCTCTGTGTTTCCTAATTAACTGAGATGTGATCTGAGGGAAAAGCCCAAAGACTTTTTCTAATAACATGTTTAAGCAATGTGTATCATGTCCCATAAATGTACAATTACACCACAGCCGAAGAAACAGTTGAAAGAACATCTGCTGTGTTTCTTTTATTTTGTCCATCTAAATGCATTAGCTTAATCCCCCAGTGGTTGCAATACATTTGACTGTGTTTATTGATTTGGCAAGTTCTAGAAATATTTGTAAGAGATTAGAAAGAAATGGAGGTCAAATTACAAGAAAAGGTGCCGATGAAAGGAAAGAGAAATATGAAACAAAGAGCAAAAAAGAAAAAAGAAAAGTGGAATAATGGAACAGTCTACTGGGGAAACTTTATGTACAAATTTTAATATGGCTGTGATTTTAGAAAAAGACCCTGTATTGAATTATACAGTCTTTAAGTTTACTCTTCTCTCTCCCTCATCACACATTCTTTGTCACAGCAACATATAGCTTTCAAGTTGATGCATTACACTCCAGGCTCCATGCTATAACTGAACTTAAGAACAATGGGAATATTTGATGCACTCATTTTACCCACTTCAAGACAGATTTAAAAGGAAAAATACATACTGATATGCTCGCGTACACAAACTTCTGCACTGTTGAGTTGCAGATAAATGGGATGATGGGAGAGTAATTGTATCCCTTGTGGCTCTTCAGAGGACAGCACAGAGACTCAAATTAAAGCACTGACCTTGTTAGCTTTATGTCAGCAGAAGGGGATGCTGCCCTTCAACCCCCACCCCATCCCACCCATGTTTACCTCACAGAGATTAACTTCTTGACCAACATATGTCTGTATATGACAGACCCATGAAGCTATAATGAACCTCCAAGAGAAAACATTTCAATTCTCAATAACGTTGAAGTGTCACCTCAAAACATCAGTGTTTGATAGCCATCAGCAATTCAAGTGAAAGTCCAGTGAGAAAAATTAAAACATATTAGAATTTTTGGAAATTCAAAGGCGACGATTTTGTGATACCATCCTAGATTTGAAATACCATCAACATAAACTACTGAATACCACTGACACATTTATACACAGGGTTTTAAATGTCATGATTGTCAAGGGACCCCCACCAGGATCAAGACCTTTTTTACTGCAGACATTTTGACTTGTCTTGGTGGGAGTAGGCTAATAACAGTAGCAATGGCTCAGTTCAAATTAAGTGCCCAAGCAGCATTTCTGCTATGACATTTCACCAATATATATAGTTTGGAGAATTGTTGATAAATGTGTATTTTATCTAAATGTGGTTGCAGTTACATGATGCAAGAATTATGGCATTTTTTTTTTATCAAATAAGGCATGCTTCTGTTTGTTTTTTTTTGTTTTTTTTACAGGATCAATAATGTGTTCTGTACCAAATTATAAGAACTTTGGATTAGTTGTACACATTTTTTTTTGCCTACATGGTAGTCTATGGATTGGACCGCCTATAGTTGGACCAAAATTGTTTCCACCCTTAAAAGTTCTGTTGGTAGAGAAAACGCTTTTTCTTAAATGTTCACATGGCGGCCTCGTTTGTACCCAGATGGATCCGTTCTCCTTGATTAACTGACCTAACTTTCAACCACATTTTATTTAAATATATTATGTTCAATAATTCCAGAATATCCTGCTGATTGACTGACAGAAAAAGAAAACAACATGCACCGGATACACACTCTCTCTGACAAAGATATGGATAAATGGGTTTTCAGTAACTATCCGTCAAAGACAGCGAAGAATAAAGTGATTAGATGAATCAATATATGTCGGGTTGTCAACAGAGATGACGTAATGTGTGTACTAATGGATCCTTCCTCCAGGGGGATGCTGCTGCAAGACCTCGACAAATGATTGTTCACTCCTATTGTCAGGTGAGCTCCTGGCCTCCCCGCTTCGTGTCGCGTAGATGGTACAGTCCACATGCAGTTCGGAGTTGTTGCTGAGGAGGTTCCTCTGTTCCGCACATACCGTTAAACTGGCATGCAGCCTACGCCTGGATTCTGTAGCAGCAGGCTACACTGCTTTTCATAATGTTACCGTCGTCTTACCGGAGCTACCTCGGGCAGCAGAGCAAGGTCGCGCTATTACACCTTTTGTGCAGTATTACAGGTGAGCCCTAAATTTTGTATGGTAGTTTTATTTGTTCTACTAACGCCACACAGAAGTTTTGAGAGGGAGCCGACTGCCTCGCGCATCGTGCAGAAATCCCAGTGAAAACTGGCGACCACCGCGTGATTTGACTGGGAATTATTTGAAGTTTCAAGTCTAGCAAGTTTAGCAGGTGTCATTTCAAGACTGAAGGAAACTTGGTTACAAGTTCACTTCAACAGAGGTAGCTAGCCAGCGCCACCGCCGCGGATGATGGTGCGACGAGGCTGCCATAGAAACAGTCCATAGAAACCGCTGAGGAGCACAGGCAATGATACTCAGTTATAAATATACTCAACCTACACTTGGGTCATTGCAGATTCAGTGGCAGCCATATTAGCTCCAGAAACATTTTCAGTTAAAGTAACATTTTTGTAAAACTGTTGGGGAACTTACATTTGTGTCAGAGACGACAATGCTAAGTGTCAGCCCCTCCTAGGTCGGGATGAGGGTCAGTTACCATGTGCCTGCAGAGGAGCCTCAGCTCATTATGGTTTAATTAAGGGGTGGGCAATTACTAACTCCTCCCTGAAAAACTCTTCACTGACCTGGTGGCCAATGCTGTAGTCCTGCTGTATTAACCACTAAAAATTCAAAAAACAAGTAAACTACAGTGTAGCTCTATCTCTCAAGCAATGCATGGGTGAGTGAATAATTCTGATAAATCACTAATATATATGTGTAATGACAAGCTTTTATCAAGTGTGACTCATGATACCAAAATAATTTTTTTGTGAAAATTCACCAAATTTAAAGTTTGCTGTGCCCAAGGATAATCAGTAGTTTAGTGTTCCGCCTTTGCAGCCATGCTCAACCCTAGCTGAGTCATGAGTGAATCAGGCCTGAAGATCTGTTTCTCTCCCACACTTTTTCTCTTACCATATCTGTAGATAAGAAAGGGTCCCCCTAATATGCTGACTGAGCATCTCTCTGTATAATGCAGTTCAATGCAACACCATCACAAACTGCATCCAAAATTCCATACAGGTTAGAGTTAACTTTTGTCTCACAATTAAATTTTTAGTAAATTTGACAAATTGAATATTTGTTGCAGTGCTGTTCTCTCAAAAAATTGTATCTCCATATCTTTATAAAGGTATATTTATGTCTTTATTTTCATCTATATGTAGGACGAGTGGGGGGGGGGGCATTTCAAACTATTGAATGTTACAAACATTAGCAGCTATGTTGAGACCTTAAAAAGTGAGACTAAATAATTGCAAACCTTTCATCAAATACTGATGATGCCACTGTTTTATGTTGTAGAACGGCTCCCATGCACTTAAGCCTCTTCTCAGCAGTAGACTAGTGCTCCTAGAGCTGGACAGTGTGCACAGAGGAAAATTTCTGGGCTACTATACTTGGATGGAACTCATAGAGAAATCCCTAACTCTTTGATTTAAGACTTGACTTGAGACACAAGTAAAATGATCCAGAGACCCAGTACCACATTATTAATTTACTGCATATCCTTTCATTATGTCATGCTATTACCAGGATCCTAAAGTCCACCCCATTAACAGACTATTTACCTTCTTCAGAGAGTTCAAGTTAAGGAGGAAAGACAGGTGTCCATTTCACTAGCTTCAGTTTTAGTGTGCTGTACATGTCAATGAGGGGTTTGACCTTGTGCCTTTGTTGAATGCAGAGTAGATTCACGTCTTCTTATAGCTAATTAAGTATGGGCCTTAAAGGGGAACAAACATGGTATGTTTCATTAAAGCCACATTAATCATATTTCTGGCCAGGAGGGGGCAGAAAAACACCAAAACGAATGAGAGTATAGAGAGACATATTGCCAGTTTGTGAAGTTGGTTTAGCTAACATGTTAGCAAACAATTGCCTGCTGTCACATCCAGCAGACTTGGGAATCATGCCGTTAATGAGAACAACTCCTATACGAGCATTTAGAAACTGTTGGTACCAAGAACAACTAGTTAATACAGGCTGAAAAATTTACACATCTGCAGAATTTGAAGTTAATTCTCCATAATTTTGGCACTATTATCTTTTTTTTAATTATCATATTATTTTTATAATAATACCAACAATATTTATGCTTATTGATTAATTAACAAACACCATTAAACACTTGCTAAGTGAATTGCATTTGGATATTTACATCAACCTTGTGATTGTACGTCTTTGCAGTATGAAGTAGATCAGAAGAGGCAAATAAAATAGATCCACTCAGCAAAACTTTGCTCCACAGTGCCAGTAGTGGTGAGAAACCTAACAGTGCCTAAGTTTGGACCTACTGAATAATGCTATCTGATTGACAACTCATCAGAAACAAGAAGCCAGAATGTGTATGTGAATGATTTCAGTGCAAAAAGTTGATATGAAGGCCCGATAAGATCAGTCTGTCAAATGACCATTCAATCCCTCCCTGTCCGGCTCTGCACAGCTGGCTTTGCCACCTCCACCCTAACACCATCCCCATCTATGTTCTGATTTCCACTTTTAACAAGAAATGCTGCCCTCTGGCAAGACACACATATTAATACACTTGCTGCCACATAAGTGGTGCATGTGAAGGTAATATTGACTAAAGTGAGAATGAGCAGCAGTGTCCACAGGGAGCAATGTGTCCTTGATGCCAGGATATCTATAATCTGTTTTCTACACTGTGTGTGTGTGTGTATGTGACACATTGTGTCGCATTTGCAAACCAAGCTAAAAGTGTTTACACTAGCTGCTTCTCTTTGAGGATATATGGATAGCAAAAACTTACAGCGTTTTTTTTCCTTTGTCTTTGAAGGCACAAGACGAAGAGAGAGAACGCTGTTATTGCTATATCAAGATATGCTGCATAGATCAGATAGACTTTGCCCTTATTCTCATCACTTTTTTATTTTGAGTTGGAGAAACGAGGGCACACTTATGTAAGGTTCTCCTCATGTCGCCAGTAAAAATTTAATACAGTCGCTATACCTTTTCCATTACTTATACAGTACAGGGAAAATGCTGTTTTACTGTTAACTGTGCTATTATTCTTGCCATCAACCCTTATCATTGTACCTAACATATACAGTGAGTTGTAAATTCTGCTTGAGCAAAACGCTCACTCCCAGTGTATTGTACAGTGGTTACCATCTGGATTGAGGTGTGGCATTTTGCACATTTTAAACAAACCATTTAAATTTTTGTTAAGCAAATAGTATGCAATGTAGAAAGTTTGAATCTTTTACTGTGTGTTTATTCATTAAATATTTTCCAAAAATGGGGCATTTGTGCTAACATGCACAGACTGTGCAATTTAGTACCAGTTTATTTAAAGTGCTTTCAGCTCTCTGCCTCCTTATTTGATCACCTGACTTTATCCCTCGTATGGAGGATACTGTTTGGGGCTGACTTGCTAATTAACTCCACCAACTGAGCCAATAGTAAACATTAGCTTGGGGGTATCCCTTTATATGCAGAACAGCTTCACTCCTCCTTGGAGGAAGTTGTGAGCCATGCGTAGTGTGAAATTTAGGATATGGGAGTAATCAGGAAGGGAAGCTCTTCAACTGGTGGTTCATTCACCACCCATTCTGTTAGTCTTGGACTTATATTTTTTGGTTGTCAAAACTATACACACGCCTATAACATTTTGACAGTGAATTGACATCAAAAGTTTTCTTCACCTTTCCCTCTATTATAGTGCAATCTATTCATCATATGCATCAAAATATTATTGGTTGCATTGTGTTGATATTGTAAGTTAACAGAATACCTTTTGATTAATCATTTAAAGTAGATCCAGATTGGTCCAGACACCAGAAGGTGTAGTCTTGTCTTAGTTTGGTTTGACAGGGAGGTCTGCCTCAGATAGCAGCTGGTACCGCTCTGCAAACTACTTAACTGCAATGAGGCACTTCCAGTGATGTCTAAGTGAAAGCCTTATTATTTTGTGATGCAGGCAATAACTCAAAGCAAATTCACAGGATATCCTTTCACATTTTTTTTATGTCTTAAAACAATAGTCAAGTGCCATGTGTACACTTAAACTTATTTCTGCTTGCTGTAATGTGAATAGACAGGCCATTAAAAGATCACTTCCTTACATGTTTCTAATAGAAATGATATTGGGCAAAATCCACACTTCTGTGTAACACAAAGTTTATTTGAAGCCAATAAAAGGGTTCAGCAGTCTGAGTTAGTCAAATCAAAGTTAGTCTTTTTAGTACAGTATTCCCTCTTTATGTTTCTTTTGTGCTGAGGGATGACAAAACAAAGTCGAGATTTCCTACTAAAAAGAATTTGGAGGATACTCACTTAACTTGTCTAACTCTGACTGCTAAACTCTCATACAAGTTTAAGCTAGAGTTTTGGACTGCATTTTAGCACAGAACGAGGGCTGTGGATTTTGTCCCCATCACTTAAATTTGAAGTGTATTAGTGGGAAGTATGAAACGAATGAATGATCACAGGCAGAAAAATTCATGGTACATATGGGCATCTGACTAGACCTAAAAGAAATGTAAACCTATCCTTTAATGCAGAGTAAATCTATGGGCCATGGGTTAACTTTTTAGCTGATTTACAAAACTCTGTGTGTGCATTGTTCTGAATAGCACATAGATAGAACATAAAATCAGAATTATAGCCTCCACAGCTGAACATGTCCCTGCAGTTGCACTGATATCTACTTCTCTTTCTCTCTATGTGCAACATGATGACTCATGATGCCTACTCTGCCAAAAATATGCTATCAAGATTAATATCCTCAATTAAACATTTTTTCGTGTATTTTAAATATTTATTTACAGCCCCATCTGGGCCAACAATAAAACATGTTAAATCATTTGCTGTGTCAATCATTAAATTTTACAAGTGAATTGATAAATATTTCAAATATAATCTATCATATTTATTCCCAGATTTGGCAAATGAGTTCCACTGTAATTGGTTTAACTGTCACACTAATCTGGATTTCTTATTATCATTCTTCTTGTCATTGTCTGGAAGCTGTAATAACTAACCGTGCAATTAACCTTTGAATCTTAACATTGATGAAAACTGGAGAAAACTAAAAAGTAAAAGTAAAAATAAGTTCAAAAAATCACTTCAATGGCAGTACAGTTAAATAGATAAATAACAAATATATTTAAATACATGCTTTTGTTCTTCATATTTTAGGGGTAGGGGATTTTCTTTCTACAGTATTAATATTTGAGGACATGGCCTTTTAGAGGGTGATTGGCCAGAGACAGAGCTGTTTTTGGCAAAACAACAATAGAATACTTGAAGTCAGTTGCCAAGCAGCACAGCAGGTTTTGATTTATGATGATGTCTTCCTGCTGGCAGCTTGTTGCAATTAGTGATCTGGTTGAAGGCTTTGGCAGTCTAGCGGTGTTATATTTTCTTTTCTAAATCAGTAACTTAATTCCTCTGTTTTTTGTTTGCCGGAATCCTGGTGATACATTTCCTCTCGCTTGTGTTCCATATGTGACTTTGCGCTTGCCTCTCCTCACTCAGCCCTCTTTTTCTTCTCTCAGTGATGATGTCATCCTCATGTTAGCATATCTCTTCCCCTCTTTTTTTTTTTTTCTGCCGGTCGCAGTCTATTCTCTTCATATCCCTTTGACTTTCTTCAACACGATGCTGAGATCCTGCTTTCAAGACTTGCCACATTTCTGACAAGCGCAGGTGACAGAGTGTATGGGTTAGTTATATTTGGACAAAGGACATACAGACAGGCTGCTTTTGATTCTTGAATTCAGGTCAGAAGGAGGAAAGCTTAAGAGACAAAACAAATTCATCAATGGAATAGTCACACAGTCAGCTGTGCATTATTTGTTCATAAAGCCCAACGCCTTCTGTGGTGGTATCACGTTCTGAGTCTAGGCTGATACCCACAGATGTCAGATGCTACTGAATGTGTACAGATATGAAATATTTTTTAAAGACTGACATCAGATGCAAGATCAGAAATATACTTCACTCACTGATGCTGTCATAGTACTCTTGATTTTTCACTCAGTGATTGCCCATTCTGATAATCCCATCTGGCATTTTTAAATGGAAAATGAAATAATTAATCTGTATGTCTATGAAATGCCAAAAAAAAAATTCTGTTTCAAGTTCTGGGAGTCCTAAATGACATCTTTACATGTCTTTAATACGACCAGTCCAACATTTTCAAATATGCTGTTTTTTTTATTACATTAAACTGACTTTTAACTGAATATCAAATGCATTTCGTCAAGAAAATAATTGGTAGATTTATCAGTAATGAAAATAATTGTTAGTTGCAGCCCTGGCTTGAACCAGAAAGTGTGCCATTTTTGCTTGATTAAACAACTGTAACAATTAATTGCTTATCAAAACTATAACAGATTAATTTTCTATCGATCGACTTTCAGTTAAAAAATAAACACAAGTTGTAATTTATTTATTTTCATAATTTCACAGATTATTTATTTAGACTTTCAATTTTTAAGGTCTTTACATAGCTACCGTTTGTAACATTCAATAGTTTTATTTTTTTTTCCAGGTGGTTGGATGGATTCCTCATATTGAAGGATAAACTCTGGATATGTAAATTAACAGCTACAGTGTTAATTGGGCTGAAGGGAATATGCTCCACAAGAAGTGTCCATAGTACATTTTAGAGATGTTTTGATAATCAAAAGTGCAATAGAAGTGCTTTTAATTTCCAACTGTTTTGCATAATGGTGTCAAATCATCCTAAGCGTTTGCAAATGAACATGATCGCATGTGACTACAGTCTTGTTTTTTTTATGTGTTTTTGACAGGTGTGTGGTGCAGTCAGGTGGTGGTGCCTCAGAGGGTAAGTGCTGTGCTGGGGAAGAATGTGACATTGGAGTGTAGGGTGGAGGTGGGCGCAAACCTTACTCTTACTCAGAGTTCCTGGGAGCGCCGTCTACCTTCAGGCTCTGTCACAGTGGCTGTCTACAACCCAAGGTTTGGCATCTCCATCCCTCCGGAGTTTGGCCACCGCTTGTATTTTCGCTCACCCTCCTCTGATGATGCCACCATCATTCTGGAGAACGTGGGCTTTGCTGACGTTGGCATCTATACCTGCAAGGTCGCTACATTTCCCCTGGGAAACAATCAAGCTTCCACCACTGTCAGTGTGCTTGGTAAGTATGTATATTTACCTGTGATATATTGAATATTTATCAAAATATAGATAAAATGTGAATGTACTGTATGTCTTCCGTGACTGAAAATTGAATATCTTTGATTGTTGGTTGGTCAAAACAAGATATTTGAAGGCATAATCTTGGCTCTGGGAAATTGTGATTGGCATTTTTCATTATTTTCTGACATTTCATAGACCAAGTTAATAATAGTTTAATCAAAAGAATAATTGACAGATTGATTGATAATGGAAACAAAAGTAGCAGTCCTAATGACAAGCTGTGGATACTGACACTATAACGTTTTTCTTGTAAATGCATTCCAACAGATCTGGATCAGGAAGTGATTTCTATTAGTTGTCAGATTGTTAGGGCTGGACATTATGTTGAAATCAATATCATAGTACTGGTAACAATATATTTTCAGATCAGTGGGATAAAATCCAGAGATATTTCCAGGTATTTGGAGGGAGAACAATGAGTGTTTAAGCATTAGAAAACATTGAATTAGTCTGTGTCTATTATGAGTCCTTCTTTTAAAGGGCACGTTCATCATTTTAGAGCAATAGCAGGTTCCAATCCTGTGTTTTCAATTTGCTGAAGGGACTACCCTTTGCATGTGTGTGTACTCACTCAGTCTGATCACAGGGGCTAATGCTAATGATGGGTTGGAGTCGGTTGTAGTGGAATGACAGAGGTGAAGAAAATGGAGTTATAGATTTTTAATTTTTAATTTAATTAAAAAAAAAACTGAAACGTCTTCAAATTCTAAAGCATTTTTCCCTCCATATGTTTTCTCGCTCTCACAGTGGAGCCAAAGGTCTACGTGTCAGCAGGTTCAACTGCCCTGATCGATGGTGGCAATGAAACTGTGGTAGCCACCTGTATTGCTGAGCGGGCCCGGCCGCCTGCTGAGGTGTCCTGGGAGTCCAACCTTTTTGGGCAGTCAGAAGTGCAGCTATTTGACGAAGTCAACGGCACCACCAGCACACAAGTGCGCTACCTCTGGCAGCCCACACGCCACGTCCAAGGCCACACACTCACCTGTGTGGTCCGCCACCCAGCTCTGCAGGGCGACTTCAGGATCCCTTACCAGCTCAGTGTGCAGTGTGGGTGCCTTTTATAAGTGGCTATGTGGGGCAAGATATTAACAGCTGAAAGAGAGCCTTATAGTGAATATGTTGATCAATATTGATTCTTTCCTGCAGTAAGGCTTTCAGTTGACACATCAGTGAAATAAGCACTTGTAATAACATTTTTGGAAAAGGTCAGTTTTTAAAAAGTGTTGATAAATTTATTAGACTGATCGTCTTACAATAAGCATGCAAGCATAACATGAGTAGATTATAGAGTGCTGTACAGTCTACCGTCTAAAATGGAGTGGATTGAGGGCCAAGCCTAGCTGTCATTTAATGAGAACAAATACAGCAGTTATTTCCTTGCTCCCTTTCTTTTCTTTCTTTAAACATTTAAACATTGTTTAAATTTACCAGAAAGAACAGGAAGAAGTGTTAAAAGCAAAGGTATTTGGTTTCCAACAACAGACAATTGATAATCCTTGGCCTTGTCAGTGTTGACATTTGATTTATTTGAAGCACGTCAACACTTCACTTTCAAAACAGGTGAATTAACAGAGATGAAATCAAGATCAAAGAACAAAGAAGCCACACAGGCTCCTTACAGGTGTTAATTATGGTTTAAGAAAGACTGTTCTTGATTTCGTATTTTTCAAAGTCTGAAGGCTTTTCTGTGTAAGCACATGTTTGTGTGTGCCCCTAAAACGTCAACAGTGAAAATGTTTTCTGTCAGTAAGCCCCCATAGATAGATAGAGGAGTACATACCTGTACTTTGTGGGGCACAAATGGGTCTCTGTATGAGCTACAAATAGACTGAGAGGGGTAAAATGACTTCCTTGAAAATCTTTTTTTTGGTTGACAGATGCATTTACTTTGGTCTGACTTACTGTTTGTGAAAGATGGCAACAAAGGATTTTATGCCGGCACAACAAACGTTCCAAGCATAGTCTAGCAAACATTTAACCATAGAAAAGTACCCTGCATTCTGTAGTAAAGTAGCTTTCTATGAACACATGGCAGCTAACAGAGGATATAAATGGCTGAGCAAACCCCAAACAAGTATCCGTACTATATCACAGCAGAACTATTTTTAAAGTATAAAAATTCAGTGTGTGCAGTTGAACAGTTTACTAAGGTTGTTTGTTAGGTCTCTGGTTAGGTTGAAGTGATTTCTCATTATTTATTTTTGTTTTCTATCTTTAGTTGCTCCTGATATTTCGGTTGTGGGCTATGATGGAGATTGGTATGTGGGTCGGGAAAATGTTCAAATGACATGCAAAGCCAACGCAAACCCACCAGCTCATCACTTCAGATGGATCAGGTGTGTATATCTGTGTATGACATTTTCCTTTTCTCCTCTGGCTACTGAAGGTTAAAGAGAAGATCGACAACTGAAGAGTAATGTTGTATTTTCTTTAAAACCTTCAAGATATGTGTTGTAGGTGTGTCTAAATGGTTTTGTCTCTTGTGTACCACAGATTGGACAGTGAAATGCCAAAAGGGGTTGAAATAATGAACAGCACTTTGCTCTTCCTGCGTCCCCTCCAGCGAAATGACTCTGGAGTTTACAGGTGTGAGGTTGCCAATGACATCAACCTCCGCAGTCGGGATGTGCGCATTCTCATACAAGGTGAGCAGAGTATGCACACCAGAACACAGCTGACTCCTATTGCTGTATCTTCCCTTAGGAAGTGTGTGCATGCACATCATAGAGGGTATCACTGCCTGTGACATTGTCCTTCAAGCTGAAATGTGACACTGTATCACTCTCATCAATTCTGTACTTACTGACAGTCTATAAAGCAATCACCCATGGTACAGTGTGTTGGCACTGATATTAGGTTCAGTCTTAATTGCATGCTGATTAGCTTTGATTAACATTAGGTCTCCAGATGTTCAAAGGGGAAGTTTTTGGGCCAAACAGCTGCAAATATTTAAGGTCTCTTCAGACCACAGTGCACTGCCTCTGCTCTGTCCTCTTGGCTTGGCATCTAAGTGTGTGATCTCTCTCTGTTGTGTATGATGAGCATGTTCTTCTGGTTTCATAGGATCCGTCTTGTCTGTGGAGACTCTCTCCCTGAATGATGTTCTGATTATGATGTGATTTTCTTTTATATTTCTCTCGCTTCCTTTCTGTGTTTCTTTTATTTCTGCATGTGTCAGTGCAGTAAGAGGCAAAACCCTGCAGCTTGACTGTGAGATGATGTCCCAGATTCATAAAACATTAAGTACTTCTTCTCCACTCCTATTTATTATTTATCATCCATATTTCATTTTCCTTTGAGAGGACCTGTACGGGCATGAATAAGCTTATACGTGTTGGTGTACCCATGGTCATGTGTGTTGCTGTCGGTGTGCTCATATATGTCAGTTCACTGCCTCTGCATGGAGCTGGACGATTGATATACTTAGAGACTACAAACCTTTGGGTTCATGTTTCTCATCTCTCAGATGTGAATCTTTTCCTCACATCTGGCCTGGCACCAAGGTTACAGTGGCAGAGCAATTTAGCAGCACCATTAAAGCTTTTAGACAGAGATTCTTTCCATTTCTTTAGCTCCTGCTGAATATGGCTTTTGGCTTTTCTGTTTTGTGGACATCACCCCTAATCCAGTTAATTTTAAGGTGTTCTAATCGAGGCGTAGAGATAAGGTGGCAATGTATCGTTATACTTGCAAAATAGGGTCTTAAATGTATATTTGCAATGCAATTTAAGCATGCAATGTACAAAATGATTTGGTTATGCACTCCTATGAAAGTTGGTAACACCGACATAGTCAGGAAGTTTAGGGATATCCCTGATAACATTTGGTGTTTCTTCAAGTCCCACCGTTAATTAACCTCAGTAAGTCACACATTTTCTCTCTACATGTAAAAATAACACTGTGACTTAATAGTTTACAATTCTCATTCAACCCATTGGTACTTTGAGGCTGTTGTTTGTGGTCTTAAAAATTACAAAATTTCAATGTAGTTGAATCAACACCTCTTTGAGTCAGTGTCAACAAAAAATAAAACTTGAATGACATAAAGGTAATATTGCAGTTCCACTATTGAGCCAGAATGGTGTACCCGGAACCGCTAAACAGCTGCTGCAATATAACCAAATGGTGCCTTTGTCCGCTTCAAAGTATGTCCACTTAAAGTCTTGTTTTTGCCACTGATAGCTTCAGATTGTTATTGTAAGTATCTGAAAACATTAAAGATCCTTTTTGTTTATGTGGAAACAACTGTTATGTCGCTCTGTCCAAAGCCATTACATCGCTCTTTTCAAAGCCGCCAGCAACCATCCCCACCTCTTGGCAAGAAACCATGTTCAGCAGCAGAGAGGACTTACATATAGCTCCTTTTTAAAGTAGTTGACTGTGAGCATGGTTGGATATCCACATGAAAAACCAGAAGAAATACAAGAGGATTTCATTGATTTTGTACAATATATTCTGTTCAGTCTTTGATTTCCTCAGTGGCCTTTGGTTTGCTCTTACTTATCCTCAAAATCTCCAGAGATGTATTGTCTTTAAGTGTATTCATGTCAAATAAAGAAAACTGACAGCAAAATGGTGCTCAAACACCTGAAACTGTACTCAAATAAGATTTTGTTAGCAAGACAAAACATGCTGATGCAGAATAACAGTCTATGAAAGCTTTGTAAAGATTTCTTACATGTTAATTGTTAATTTGTTAACTAAAGACAACATGGCCTGCTTTGACCAAAGTGAAACAATACATATGCATTTTAATTTCAGATTTAAAGGGATAGAGAAAACTCATTAGAGACATTTCAGAGCTGTAAATACTGTGACTGGTAGCTATTATCTTAGGGTTAGGGTTTGAAAAACACTGCCAGTGTTGCAGTGCTGTTTATTTTATTAAGAATTGAACCATTGCTGCTCAAACCCTTGTGACAAACTTTCGAATTTATCCATCATCTAATATATCCGCTGTGTAAACGGATTTGACCAAATTCTAGATTTTTATACTTTACTTACCAATCATTGGTAGTGCAAACTTGAGACTGGTGCAAGCATGTTCTGCATAGTTTTGTATATGTGGTAGTTTATTTAATGTTTTCGTCAACCTATCCCTTCTTAGTAAAATGCTGATGTAGTTGGCATTGACATTATCTGCTTCTTTGTCTGTTCATTTGTCCCCTTCACCCTCTACTCCCTTCTCACCCTCCTTCCGTTCATTAGATCCTCCCACCATGCCTTCCACCATTACTGCTCCTGTCCTAACTGGCTCTGCCTCCTCCACCTTAGTGGATGATAAGGGTCATGTCCTCCTCAGCTCCCCCACACTTGAAGCCCTACCTGAGAGTAATCTTGGTTCCATAGTGGGTGGGGCTGTGGGTGGGGCCTTGTTCCTTCTGCTGCTGCTGTCTCTGGTTGGTGTGTGTTACCTACGGAAACAGCAGACCTTCCACGGGAACTACTACACCAAGCAGTACCTGGGCCCCAGCGACTTCCAAAAAGCCCCCACACAGCATGAGCTCCACCCTACCAAAGCTGGCAGCAGCTCCTACCATCAAGACCACGACCGAGAGGAGTGGGGCGACCGCCAGCTCAAACAAGAGCGTGACCGCCGTCACCATAGCAACTATAACGGAGAGGAGTATCCCTCTAATGGCTACACTAGGGCAATGAGGGAGAGCAGTCACCACAGCCATCAGCCGAATCACCACCGTGAACACACACAGTATTCTAGTCCACGGCAGGCCAGATACCCTCATTCACCGAAACCACAGGGAAACGGCTCCCCCTATCTGTCAGATGACTGCTACGATAGTGGGCCAGAGGGTGACTATGTCTCTCACACAGACGGCTCAGTCATCTCACGTAGGGAGTGGTACGTTTGACAAGCTACCTGGTTCTGCAGGAGCAGAAGAACAACAGTAATCGGAGAGTTTCATTTATTAAATGAGGAAGAAACACAATTTTTCTGTTCTGTACGCACATGCACACTTCTACTAATCTCAGTTCTGTAATTCCCTTGTTTTTCAAGCGTCCTGGTTGACACTTGATGTTTTTTTTTCTTCATGGGGGACAGACTGTGGACTGCACAGCCACTTTGACAGTCAACTTCTACATGCCTACAGAAGTGGGCATGTCAATAGTTTGTGTGTGTAGAGACTAAAAGATCATGATGTATGTGCTGTCTCTGCCTTACTACATGGACTGCCAATTTATTTAGCATTACTAATGTCTTTGAGTTGAGTGGAAGCCCTGGGGGCTTGGAGATCACATATGGGTGAAAGAAAGTTTTTTGTTTGTTTCTACAGAATCAGCCCTCTTAAGCTATGTGACACTTGCTTATTTGTATTTGTATGTGTTGATATTGATGACACTGATCTGTTTAAAAGACCTGAATATGATCAGCTGATACTCAAGAATAGTACAGGACCTAGGTTGGAAATAAATCCATGAAATTCAGTTGGTCACAGGTCCTTTTCTGAAAACCCAGTAGGATATAACAGAGCTGTTACAGGCTCAAGGATTTGTCTCCCTGAGAAATCAATATTTCCTCCGTGATTAGTGACCTCTCCACATTCATGGTCATACAAAGTATTGCACTGCCTCTTGCCAAACTTAATAACGGGCAACCAGATCATCAAACCATTTGTTCTCTACAAAAAAGTCTGCCTTTTATGTAAAATACCATGATTGGAGACTTTTGAGCTTGAGGAGTTGACCACTGATGTCTTAGCAGTGTCCTTTAAAACTGGTGTCCTACTGCATGTCCTCAGCTCGTCTTATATCCTCAGGAGGGAGGGCTGGAGAAAGGGTAAGCAGGGAAGCCTGCATGCAGGAGGTACAATCCACTGTAACAACAGACAGGTTTGCCATACAGTCATGCTTTGATATGCAAATTTGCCACAACATTCTGCCATCCAACGCAAGTTAAAAGAAGTTGGACTACTATCGCTTAACCTTTTTTCAACATTTGTGTGAGTTATTGATTTTTTTTTTTTTTTTTTTTTTTTTTCAGGTTAGTTGTCCTTTTCAGTTAGCCACAAACACGTTGTCCTGTTGTCTCTCAGATGATGACAATGGACGTGTATAAGAATTTGCACTCTAGCATCAAACCAAGGCTCTTGGGAATTCAAGGGTGCTATGAGCAGGGGCATTGTTTAAAGTAGGCTACAGTATGGCAGCCACCATGCACTGGCCTCCTAGTCACAAAGTACTTTGTCACACAAAGAAACCATTCAAGAGTGCAGCCAGTACACTCCATGGTCTAATTTCACTATTCCGAATAATCTGTAGAAACAAGAAACAGTTACAATCTGAGGCATTAATAGGCTTATTGGGTCTTATCCATGTCCACTAATCATGCTAACCAGTTATTTTTAACTGAAGCATTTATGTTATTACCTGTACTATCACAGTAAAATATACATTATGTAGGCAAATCAGGTCTTTTGTGATGGATATGCTGTCACCGTCACCTGTGCTTATCAAAACTTCCACTCAGCTTTTTATCCACAGCCCAGTGCTGACTCACCAGAAGGGACAGACAATATTTTGTAGCACTGATCATTAAATCTTCAACTTTTGATTATCTTTAAGTAGCTGCAAATTATACACCCAAAAAAAAAGTTCTCAGGCTGGATTTACAATTAAATCTGTATTCAGTTGTAACCAGCTGCATGTTATTGCCAGTCAAGATGCTCAGACCTTGCAGGTGACTGAACTGAGGCGAAAATGTTTTACACGTCAGTGTCACTGGGCTATGGAGCACTATCAGTTCAGAAGTCAAATTTATATAACGCTATTATGGATTTAAAGTTAAATTTCAGTTTTTGTATTTGATCAGGTACACAGATAAAACCTAAAGTATTTCAACACATGCACCTGTTCACCAGACTGCATGAGGATATCAAACAGTTTATTTCATGTACACTAGTGTTTGTGAATACATGCCAACTTAAGTAGTATGGTCACCTTTACAATATTTGCTGCTAGATGCCAAATATTTGTTTAACTTGTATGTATAAATATGATGACAGTGTCTCACATAAGTATTACTGACTAGCTAGCAACTGATTATTAGCTTATATAAATGACTAACGTATCACTGTTGTATACAGGGTCTGTAGCCTGAAATAGAAATGAAAAGATGCTTTAAGGCCACTTTAATATTACAGTAAGAGTTGTTAAAATGGGAATGAGTTATATTGTTATGAACCTGCACTAATTATTTGTCAGGGTATGAATTTTGTGGCGTGAATAGGCAGCGACTCTCATAGTGAGATTTAAAAATGTGCCACTGTAACTTGGAAGCAGAGAATGTGACCTCTTTACTGCAATTCATGTCGTTTCAAGTGTTGTTTCAGATGTTGTGCAGTACAAGGGGACTCATTTATTCCATCTAAACTTCTCAGTCCAATAACTACCTTCAGTTTCAGTTCACTCCAGGTACATAAACATAATTCCTCACTTACCACTAGTGCTATACAGAAAGGTTTGGTTCAATGTTCCTAGGTTTTCAGATTTCCTTCTCAGATTTCTGCTACAACATCTCTTGCCTAAATCACTCTGGATAATCTACACAACACATTGTCAAAAGTTTTCATATGGACTATTTCTTTGGTAGAAAAACCGTTAACAGTGTGGATCACCTTAAGTAACCAGGACAACATTTTTGTAAAGAGATGTTGCTGGTAAATTTCTAAATCTAATTTTCCAAGACTATGACACTATAACAAAATCCCATCCACCTTTATCATACTGTGGTAGTTTGAAACCTCAGAGACTCAAGTCTCAAAACCTGGGTTAATAAATGCAAAACTATCTGCATTGTTAGATAGTGCTATATGTAAATGACAAAATGTGTTTCTATGTAATTTAGGTGAATTGACCCTTTTAAATGGGAGTGTGCAAGATTAAGCGTACAGTTGGCAATTTGTGAACCACAGAACCTCATTTAGAAAAAATATGTTTTGGCATGGGTGTGCTGCCGACACCTATTCTATCTGAATTTCACATAAATGTCAAGAATAACAGGAAGCACAGTTGTCTAACCTCTTCTCCTGTTTGTCTCTGTGCATTAAGACAGAAATTCCACTAATCAATATACTATTTTTGCTTGACTTGTCAGTTTGCAGCCCTTCACCTAGATTATTGAAGTTCTTTTGTACTGTGACATTTTGTATAGAGATCGATCAGTATCTTTACCTTGGGTTGAGAAATACAACTAGTGCCTTAGATACCTAGAAGAATAAATTTAAGTGTTTTCTTATTATTGTTTACTTATGGCTGTGACAACCTGATTTGTTGCTCTATGAGATTTATTTGTTACCTTTTTGTTCTGATTTTCACTGCTTACAGTGTGTTAAGAGGACTCTGTAGTGCCATATTCACTTCTCTGCCCTTGTCACTATGACAGTTAATGACGCAGTATATTTGCAAAACCTAGAGTCATTAAAACACACAAAAAGACAATGCTTGAATGAATTTTGATGTAAAATTAATTAAATCTCTACTTCGTAGGTATTTGTCAGGGGTTTATGTTTTTGTAGAATCACTGTTGCTCAAAGGACTGAAGAATTAACTTCAGTTTCACATTATCAATTAAATATACCTTGTGGTCATGTTTGTTTTTGTATATACACGAGGAAATGTAAGTTTCTGGAAGAAAAAAATATTTATGTCAGTGACAACAGTGGAGCATTATTTTGTCCACCTTTTTGAGATACTTTAGTTCAATAAAGCACCTTAGCACCTGTGAGTAATTTTTTCTCTGGAGGTTTTTGAGCTTGCCATTACTCTCATACTGCTCAGTCTCAGCTTCTTTGTGCCTCTATAAATGACATCATCTCCAGCTCCCTAACGCATAATGCTGCATAACTGTCCCCCACCCTCCACCCCCCCAAATCCAGTACGCACGTGTGGGACGCCGTACATGACGCAATTCAAAATCATGTCTCCTCACTTCAGCTTATCTTCATGACTCTTGAATATCCAAGAATGCTGAAGGAGGTTTATTTATTGCCTTTGCCACTTGATTAAATACAATACTGCAATACTGAACTGTTCCTCACCAGTGGTATCTTAATAGTCGGGGGAGATTCAGCACCTTCTGCTCTCTCTGTGTCCTCTTCACCAGTCCTAGTTTCCTTTGTTTCAGGACAGAAAGGCCCTCACTCTCTCCTACAGCTCCTCTCCTTTGCAGTTTCAACCCCCCCCCCCCTTTCTCCAACTGTCTACCAGCTGGTAAAATTAAATGCTGAGTGTTTGTGTCTGGCCCAAAGTCCCCACTCTCCAGCCCATTGACTGTCCCCATGGCAACAAGCTCATCTGGAGCTGCTGATGGAGACTGTCTTCCTAGCTCTACCTGGCCACAGAGAGCGGGAGGGAGAGGAATGCTAGGGGCTGTGTGGAGCAAAGAGGTTAAATGTGCTGCTGTGAAAGGCAAGCCAGAAAGGGAGAATTAGCTACTGGAATTGAAAATGGCCCATTATGTCCTGCTGCACTGCAGAGAGCTCCTCTGGCTATAAGGACGTATTACGCCGATGTGACCTTGACACTGTTAAGCATGGACCCCAGGTCCTCATGACTGACACACTTCCCTCTGAAAGTCTTTATTTGAGCTGACCTCTCTGACTTCTACAGATCTTATCATGGTCACCGCAGTTGTTGTCATTGTGACCTTGAAGCAGGGCATGCTCAGTCTGAAAATACATGGTGGAGCAGCTCAGTAGCAATAATGATGTCAGCCAGCAATGCTCCAATTTGTTTGAGACACTTGTGAAGAAGATCAGTGGATTTGCTTTTTGCCTGCAACACAACAGTTTCCAAGGATACTTTTCACAAAGGAATGAGCAAACGACTTAGGCTGTGTAGAGGGATGCTGCCCCGGTTTTGAGAGAGACTTTGATATTAACTCCTGAGCAGAAGTGGGATCAAATTGTCACCATTGAGCTGAAAATCTAGAAATGACACACCGCCTACAGCTCTAACCCCCCCCCCCCGGTGGGCTCTTTTGTCTGGGCAATAGTATGACCCTTGACCCTGCTCTTGCAGTTGTAGGATGGGGGGGGGGGGTGGCCATGACTTGCTCCCACACTTCACTTCAGGCAACTGAGGTGCACTGCTGTGTTTAATTCATGATGAGCACGTCTGCTACGTTGACCTCGATGAGCATTGGTATGCACCTCTCACAGCTGCGATGTGTGTGTGATAAAGTGCTGAAGTAGAAGAGACAGAGAGGCTGTTGCACTGGAGCCAGATCCCAGTGTCGGGACAGTTGATCCACCACTAACCACTAATCCAAGCCCCCTCCAGCATGGATGGTATTTGAACCAATGAAACGTTCAAATAGGAGAAAAATGTCAAAATAGAACATTCATGAATATATTTATGCATCTAATTGTCCCAAATAGTCTTATTTTTAGTTAAATGTCTTCTAAAAGCATGTAGGAAACACTGTGTGATTAATAATGTATTTGCCCAAGATGCACACCTCAGTTTTGACCATTCACAAGACTTTCATGTAATGAACATATCAAGTTATACTCCTGTACAATTAGACCTTATGAACTGCTGAAGGTGCTCCTTGCATATTGGGTTTAAAGGGCTTTTTATTTCTTGTCACATTATGAATGTCTTAGAAATTGTCTGTCATCTGGAATTGAAGCAGGCAGCTTAATGCACTGCATTTTTAAAGGCATTTTGAGCAACTCAAGAGACTTTTGTCATAGAAAAATCGAACGGTTATTAACTGTTAGAGGACAGAATGAAGGGAGAAGACTGGATAGAGGGAGGGGAAAAAGAAGGGGAAGAAGTGGCTTTCAGGGTCAAGCTCAGAAGTCCTAGCTTGTTCAATCTGCATCATAATTGAAATGTCATTTAGGATTCTTAGCACATTATTGATTTTATTTTCCCTACCTCAACAGTTAAATCAACTGGAATTGACCATTACACACTTTTTTTTCTCCGTCACCTTTTGTCCTCTGCTTCCTTCAGTGTCCCACAATCACAGTTTTACACATTACTGCTGATTGGCCAAAGCTCATTGTTCTGTGAGTTTAATGCATCTTAATCACAATTAATCCTAATCCCCTCAGTGGACAACATGGAGCACATGCAAGCATATGGTCTAACAAAGCTAATTCAACAGACATAACAACTCCACACACAAAACACAAAATAAAGATGGATGAAGGGATGGATGGATGGATGGATGAATGGAGGTGAAGATGTTCAAATAAAGTGATTAAACAAAAGTTTTTCAAAATGCAGGACCTCTGACTGAATTTAGCCACCCTATCTCATTTTTAAAAAAATAGATGGGATATGCATTATTTCTTTCTTGCCAAAAATTGGATAAGAAAATTGATACTAGTCGAATATATGTCTGTTAAACATGAGGCAACAGCCAAAAGAGAATTAGCTTAGCATAACTTAGTTTAGTGTAAAGAATATAAGTAGGGGGAATCAAATTGCAAGGCTCTGACCAAAGGTAACAAAATCTGTCTACCTAATAAACAAGTTATATCATGTACGTTTCATTTGTGCAGAAACTGAAGCGTGAAAAGTACAGTTTGTGGTTTTATAAACATTGTGTGTTCAAGGTTGCAGATTCTGAGCTGGTTTCAAACCAGCCAGTGTCAAACCAGTTATTCTGTCACCTATAAGGGAAGAAAATAATTGTAGTAGTTAAGACCATGGTTAAAAACCTCTAGAGATGGACTCAAGTCCAGTCGCGTTTTGATTTAAAACTCCTTTAGGATACCATGACCTGGACAAATGAGAATATGCACAGGCTCTAGAGATGAATAAATGTCAATGTTGTAATTTGTTAAGCCACTGTTTTATCGTGTGTGTAGGCTTAAAATGAGATTTTACCACTTGACATCAATGTGTCACACTGAGCTCCATATATATATATATATATATATATATATAGAGAGAGAGATATATAGATATGTATAATATGTATGTTGATAATATATGATATACGAAGACAGTATACATCTTTATTTCCATATTTGCAGAATTTTCATACATCATTAACATACAACATGTTTGTCTATTTTATCAGTTGTTTTTAAAAAAAAACAACAATTTGTCTGATACTATTTTATAATGAACAGCAGATATGTAAATGATTTTAATAGTACCCATCCATAGTTCAAATATTCAGCAGCTTTTATGATTTTGTGTGTGCGTGCGTGCGTGCGTGCGTGCGTGTGTGCGTGCATAGCCCCATGTTTCCTGTGGATGTTTCAAACCTGTTCCTTCAGGACAGCAGACACATGATGACACTCAGACAGAAACATTATGAGCCTAGAAGGACTTTGACTCAGAGCAGTTTGCTCTCTTCAGAACAAAATGTAACAAAACTCATCTTGCAAGCTTAACATGTAAATTATCAAATTTAATATCAAACACCCTCAAAAATTTGAAAAAAACAATCTTAATGTGTAACATTCAGATGCTTTTACTTCTTTGCCAGTAGATGGTGACATATTGATATTAAATGCTGTCGCTGTTACTCTCCTTGCCTCTAGAGGGCAACTGTGGATCTGAAACTGGTTGTACACAGCTGACACAGCATGTATCCTTTCTCAGCAAATAACCCATTTTTTAATATGCCTGAATACCATCTCTGACTATGTTGAAATCTACTTTACGCCTTTGAGTTTGAAGGATCTGTCCTTTGCTCTCTCTTGTTGATGTTATTGCGCTTGTGGTACTAAAAATCTCTCTCTACTCTGTCTCAGACCAGTCTCAAGCGGAGAGGTCAAACTCCATCGCTGTGGCCGGAGCTGTGATCGGTGCCGTCCTCGCTCTCTTCCTCATCGCCGTCTTCATCATTGTGATCCTCACTGCTCGCAAGGCCCCGCCACCAGCCTTCACTGACAAAGTGTAAGTCTGACAAATAATTCATGCTGCAGAACATACTCGGCTGGTTAATTAATGAAACGATACCTCACGAGGTTGACTGAAGTCCATCAATGGGTTCAGGGAGTTGCTACTTACTCCTGTGGAGAGAGCTGCAGCTGTGCTCACCCTGGAGCAGGGAGGCTGTGGGACAGGATTGAGGGGTAGCAGATAATTGGTGTCTTGGCAGCGAGCCTTTGTCCTATATTGTTCCGTCTGTTCCTATAGCGCAGCAGCACTCGTGTAAATGTTAGAGCAAAGAGGAATAAATTTGAGGTTAAATTATTTACAGAAGAAGCTGCTTGACACTCTGCCAGAGTCCTTGTTTGTATGTATGTGTGTGTGTGATGTAAGAAGTACTCATGTTGTGGGGACCTAAATCTGTTTACAAAGTCACATTATGGGGACTTGTCTTCCTTATGGGGACAAAAGCAAATCTCCATAACATGAATCATTTAATGTTTTAAAGTTAGGTTTAGGTTGGGTGAAAAGTTAGGCAGGTTGTAGTCATGGTTACAGTTAGAGGTTAGAGTAAGTCTCCAGGAAATGAATTTAAGTCATTGTAATGTCCTCTGAAGTCATGGAGAGAGACAGAGAGAGAGAGAGAGTGTGTGTGTGTGTGTGTGTGTGTGTGTGTGTGTGTGTGTGTGTGTGTGTGTGCGTGTGTGTGTGTGCGCGCGTGCGCGCAATTTGCTCTTTGTTTTGTCTGTCTCTCTTGTGTCTATTCTAAATAAATGTGACAGATGGTAACTTACAGGACTGAACAGGATCTTTTATGTGCAGAGGGATGAAACCTGGAGGGTTTATTTTGATTGACTCTGCTTCTATTTAAGTCCACATGGCAACACAAATGTGTACTTTATATATCCATTTATATATCCAATATCTAATACTGCTGATCGACCTACTACCTCTTATGTACGTATCATTATTATGAACCTCTGGACCATATCAACCCATATCTTTAAGGGTTGATCCCCTCATCCATCCTTGTTAGTGTGTCATTGTGCATGCTCAGTCCAGGGAAGCGCAGCTATATGCATCAACTATATCTCAATGCAACTAATGGCTAAATAAATGTAAATCCCTAAATTCTAATTTTGTGTAAACTGCAAATATGTCAATGACAAGATACAAAATGTTCACCTCTTTAAAATTTTACATCCTAATTCTAGTGACTGTGCCCTCTTCAGGGAAATTTGAAAGACATTTTACTGTGAATGCTTCAGACTGTGTTTCAAACCGACTGATTATGTAAAAATGCTGGTGAAAATAGTCGACCTACAGTTACAGCTGATTGTCTGATCACAAGCAGAAAATGATAGTATTAATTGAGGGGAAAATACTTAACATTTGTGCACAGGTGTGAGGCCTGCATCATAGTGCTGAAACTACAGGGCGGTGTATCTAGTCGTATGTTGGTCTGTGGTCAATGCCATGACAAACTTAGCATCTTAAGTGTGACCGTGGCAGGAAGTCCCAGTGGGATGATGGGGAGGGGGCAGACGGGTGGACGTAGGCCTTCATCAAACTCAGATGTGAGTGTAGGACAGCAGGTCACTGAGAGCTCTAACTGTAATCTCTGACCACTTCTCATCTGAAGTATGAAAGAGAAGCACAACATCAAGTGATATACAGTGTTAGAAAAATCAATGCCTGTCATGGCATCATTTTATGAATGGCCAAGGTCAGTTTCTAGGTTTCAGCTTGGTAGTGGATGGGGATTTCAATAAACGAGAGAATGACTCTGACTTCAGCGTCTTTCAGGGGTTTAGAGGAACAGCTGTCAAAAATCTTCAGATGTAGTATTATGTATGAAAGTCCATCACCCTTATACACATGTTGTCAAATATTCTAAACCCTGCTGATTTAGGCATGATGCCATTAGTGTCACAGGATACCACTGCTTAAAGGCATACTCGGCTGATTCAGTATTGTATTTCCATAAAAGTTGGCGGACGTACAAGAGACAGATGATACAGCACTTTTATGTTATAAATTTGTTACAAATCTCCAAGGCCAACTCAAGATAACCTGGGTGACATCACTATGACATCATCAGGGTTATTTCATATCATCAGTTATCTCATTTTTTAGAGAGCAGCATCTGACTCAAAAGGTGAACTTTTAAGCGTCTCCTCTTTAAATTTTATTCAGTTATTGGTTTTGTACCCAGCATAAACTGTCACTAAATTAATCTGCTTCCTTTCAGGTGTCTGTGGAAGCTAAAATCTATTGTCACTGTGATTTCTATTTTGCTCTCTCTTTCTCTGAAGGATTGACCTTCCTCCGACACACAAGCCGCCTCCTCCCTACACTGAGAGAGCACCGGCTGTTCCTCTGGGTGTCCACGCATCACAAGTGGCCTGGCTCTGTCAGGTAACCCCTCTTCTCTCCACCTCACTCCCACACCTTGTATCAGTATATTTCTGCATATCTGAATCATCATGTACTTACAACGCAAACAGTAACACTTGGTAAGCTAATGAGCACTGAGTCACAACAGGAAGTAATAAGAACAAACTGACCGATGTCATCAGTTTTTATTAAGTAGGAGGCCTAATGGTTGTACTCATTTAATATGTAAGATAGTTTGAATTTAAATTTGTGTTCTCAGTTCAACCCAAGCTTTGATAAGCCTGTACCTTTTTTTTAGTCTCACCCAGAAAGAAGCCTAAAGTAAAACCTATACTTTTTTCCTCTCACATTTTACATGACTTTCTGAGACTCTGACATAAAAAAAAAATCACATAAGAAGTTAAAACTATTTTGTGTTTTGTGACATTAAGAGCAGCAGCTGGATGTGAATGATATCACTCTGGCTTTGATGGGTTTTTTTTCACCTGCAGACTCGCAGGGCAGAGCGCAGGTACGAGCTGAGTGATTGGCAGCACCCACCCAAATCAAGGCCGAGGCCGTCCGGAACACAAGGCCCCACCCAGCAGCTGTCCCGCCTGGAGTGGGTGTGTCATCAGAGTGGGACAGACCGGGTGTACATCAACCACCGTGAACACTATGTGTAACAGGCATCCTGAACACAATCCACCAAGCAGCTGGCGGTCATCCAGTCTGTCACCTGATTACCTGAGACATCAAGGGCTACGTCTCTCTTTGCAGGCAATTTTTATACATTTGAACTTTTACTCCGTATTGTGAAAATGTTATGTCTGAAAGGAATAGTTCAGCATTTTTGAGAAATACATTTATTAGCTTTCTTTCTGAGAGCTTGAGAAGATTAATCTGACATCTGTCTGTGAAATATGAAGCTACTGGTTAGCTTAGCTTAGCACAAAGGCTGGAAACAGAGGGAGTCAGCTACCCTGGCTCTGTCCAGTGGAAGCCCAACCGAGAAATAGTCCACGAACCACAAATTGTTATTTATCTCTTTCTGTTTTTGTACAGATTAAGCAAAACAGAGCTTATCAAACTGTTTACCCCTGTATGCTAAGCTAAGATAATTAACTGCTGGCTGCAGCTAAAATGATTTGTACAAGCATTTCAATGGTATGAATCTTTTCATCTGACTCTCTGCAATGAAGCTAATAAGTGCATTTACCAAAATGTCAAAATATTCCTTATCTGATTTTCGTTTTGCAAATATTCTGTATTTATCAGTATTCAGTTTTTTGATATCACTTAGGATGAGGCAAAGGAAAAATGAGGCTTTAGAAATCACATGAGCAAGAGAGCAAAGCTCACATTAGGGTCATAGTTGTCCACCAAAATCTAACCACTATTATCTTTTTTCCCCTGTCAGAGAGGATACCACAAAGCATAAATTTGAGACTGTATTCTCAGGCATATCACTACGCCAAACCACATCAGATGTGAACTGCTGAGGTCCACTGAGACCAAATGTGCTAACTGCAACACAGACCATGAAGGGATTAATCAAGGTGTTTCTGTCCCAGGCCTGTGATTTGCTGTTGTAATGTTATGACACAATTCTTTCTAGCAGCAGAAACTGTAGATTTGTAAATGTGTAAATGTAGCCTCTGTGTCAGTATAATTATGCAGAGTCATAATCTACTAATCAGGGAAACAATAATGTAATGTAAGTAATGTAACATAACTGATGTCAGTGTTTTTATGTGTAATGTAGAAATATACACTTGTTCTGTGTAAACTGAGGGAAATGTGGCTCCTGTAAAAAGTACTGTGTCTGACTTTTATAGTGAAGATCTGGAGAACTAACTGTTATAAGTGCCATTTTGAGGGCATTCCCTCTAAATATATAGTATGCATGCTGTAGTGCTCTCATTTCTCCAACGTGGGTATATAGCTATGAGTTGTTGTCCTGATAGATTCATAAAATAAATTGCAAGTGTATGTAAGTGACCTTACAATGAAAATCCATCATCTGTCCTCACTCTGAAGCAACACAAAATCACATCCAAAGAATAACAAAAGAGGCTAAAAGAAAGAAAATCAGACCAAGCAATCTTCTAAACTGCTGTGTAAAATCAGATAGCTCTACATGAGGGTGTTCAATAGCCCTGTGAAAGTAAACAGTCTAAGAGACGAGAGCTCTGAGTCACCACATGTGGAAACAAGAGAAGAAGTCCTTGAAGATTTGAGAGATAGTTTGAATTGACGGGTTGAGGGTTTTTGAGAAAATTTAATCTCAAGGTCACAGTCACTGTGATTGTCACAACAGGGAGGAAAAAAAAGGTGTTTTTATTACCAGGAACATTGTGAGTAAATGCAGCAGTGTTTGTGTTGGAGTAGCCGAGGCTTGCGCTATATTAACATCACACTGATGGTGAAAAGATTTGTCAGGATCCATTTATTTCTTCAGATCAGTCGGTGCTGTGGGCTTCTGCGCTTACTTAGTTAAGAAGGGTTGTAGCTGACACTTTCCAAGAGTGACACCTAGTGGTCAGATGTGTCAGTGCAGCCCCTAGTGGTATGTGTTGAATCACCATCACTGAATATAGTGCTAAGGAAAGTCACCTTCATTTTTGAAAATAATTATTTTATTGGGGAGCAACATAAGAATAGGAAAAGGACAATAAAAAATAAGAAATACCTATAGAAATAAGTAAATCAAAAACAAAAGGTAACAGTGACAACTATAACAGACCATTTTTTAAGACCACAATTACGCTTTTAGTTTGTTGCACATTTGACAGTTGTATTAAGATCACAAAGATGCCACCTTCAATTCAACAGCCAAAAGTTGGTAGTAAAACTAATATTGCACTGATACTACTACTATAATGTGAGCTGGTACTACAGTAAACGGTTACATCAGTTAAAGGGTCAGTTCACCCAAATTAAATTTTTTCACTTTTTCTTTTAGTAGTAGTGATGCATGTAGTTTTGGTTTTATGCTCCTAGTTACTGCAATGTCAATCTGCTGCCACCCCTATACAATGGAGGTGAATGGGATTTTGTTTGTGGAGCTTTTAAAATGTACACGATTCAACAGCAATGTCTTTAATCAGAAACTGTTCCTTTGGATAATCTTTAGACTTTTTTTTCTAAAGGACTATTTCTTCCTAATAACAAAAACTGTTGAAGTGTTTTCTCTGCAAATTAAAACAAAATCATCTGCAGATCTAGATACCACTTGAATAAGACAATGTTTTTTTGCTTCATTTTTTTTTTCATAATATGTGCACTGACCCTTTTATTTTTTGATGACATACTGAAACTACTAAAGCCCTCTTTGTGATATCAGCAGGGGTCCAAATGCTGCTTAAACCTGGGATCATAATGTGAAATTACAGTAAATAAGTAAATAAGCTCATTAAGACATGTTAGTATGAGCGCAGCTTCATTTTAAGTTCTGAAACAACAACAACTACTAGAGAGCACTGCACGGTCACCAACAATACTCTGACATGCTAACAGTAGCTTGGTGGCTACACTGCTGTACTGAAATAACTGCTTGCAGTTTAATGGCTCAGGTTTGGCAGCTAAAACCATACATTTCTTAGGGTAAAGGAACATTTGACCCAATATTGAAACTTCTGTCATTATCTATTCATGCTTGTGTAAAGTACTGGAAGATTTATCAAACTGGCACACATCCAACTCTCATCTGTCCATAGCCGTTTGTTAGTCTTTCAGCTGTTGTCACAGTTTGCAGGGGCGATAATTTATCAACTGGAGGCTGGAGAGAAATCAGGTGAAGTTTAAATGTCCAAATAGCCAACAGCAAGTTACAGGGACAAGTGCAACTCTCCACATCAGGTCACAACTGAAGTGTCTTGAGTTACAGTAAAAACAAAGGTTCATCATTAACCTGTGACGACATTCTCACATTGTTTGGTTGATTTGCAAAATGTTGATTTGGAGTTGTGCAAGCGAATAGCTGTTGCATTATGGACTGACAAACTATCAAAAAGAGACTTTTGGAGTTAAACATAATTTTCTCAATGCATTATTCTTTTATGGATTTCGAGCCTTTCCCAAACATGCTTTAAACAAGTGAAACTACATTGTAAGAGGTCTGAGTAATTTAATGTCTTCCTAAAGTGGATCTTGTATTTACCAGTGGCCTTCAACTCCTTGTCAAACTGCCCCTCAAGCACTCCTCTCTTCTCAAGCTGTCAGCAGCATTTTGTGAGGTTGCTTAATTTGTTCATTTGTTTTTGGAAGCAAGACATGGCCTTGAAAGATGAGTCTAGTGACCCACTGATTAACTGGCTTTTTGTCTAATGTCTGATGATGATACATATTTTAGAAAAATAAAATCTGCAGTTTTACCTATTGAAACGTCCTCTGATGGCAGTTTATGGTGCAGCTTGTTCACACAGTTATGCAACTGAAACAGGGTGGAGGTGGCGTATCCTCAGTGAGACAATAATAGTTATGTAGTTAGACATAGTTATGTAAGAGTAAAACTAAAGGTGAACGATGAGAACAAATGTAGTCGAACATAATAACCTAGCGTCATTTCGTGTCCTTGAAAGAGCAACTTGACAAATAAGAGAGAAATACACTGACAGTCTTAATGCACTTGATAAATAATATAATACATATAATTTTTATATTAACAAAGTATTCTAAGACTATGAGAGTTATCACCCAACTCTGCAGTTTGACTCAGCACTACTGAGCATTTTAGCATCTTTCAGCTCATTGTTTCAGTTTTCTGCTGCATAGCTTGACAGTTTTGGTTCATTCTCATTGTTCTCAAAGTCTTGTTTTGGGCCACAGCAGGCGGCTGTTACCTGCTGTTATCTGCAAAGTAAGAAGCTGCTTCTGTTTGTGCCAGAAAGCAACATATTTTTGTGCCGTTAATGATTTCAAATTGAGTTGGAGTTAGTGCAGGACAGCTGAGGTTCCTGCCACTAAACTGGAAGTCTGATGCAAGTTGCATGAAGTGCAGAGGACAGTAAGTCTCATGAAAGTTGTAAGCGGTTGCTGCTGAGAAAGTTTTTGTTCGGACTTCAACGGCAGGTACTAAACTGTTCATGTTAATTAACGGCAGGTGATGTTTATGTCAGTTTTTTTCTATTCAACTAAAAATAAATTATGCTAAATAATGAAAGCAGCAGTAATGCTTCGTTGCTTCGTTATGAATAATTTTGCAGCTCAACAGGAACACAGTGCTCACTAGTTATGTTAAAAATGATATGATATCAAAGAAAAAAAAAGGTGATATTCTGTGCTGTCCCTGCTTGGATATGACTGTGTGAACTGGTTATACTAAACCCTGCCAGCAAAGCATCTCTGTAAATAAAATTCCTTTCCTCATACATTTCCCCTTCCTGTCCTTGAGTGAATGGCAGCTTTGTTTCAGCTGTCAGGATTGATTAAACCTTGCTCCCATAAACAAACGTGGCAGTGCAGAAGTGGAAGAGAGCTTCTCCTCCAGCGGCCCCACAGAGGATGTACCATTCCAACATTTTCCAAATCTCAAATCCTCGGTACGTTCAACACGCAACAAAACAAGTTATTTTGACTTGGCTTTCTGTTTGGCGGCAGCTGCAGCTGCAGGTGCAGGTGCAGGTTTTGGGGCAGGGGCAGCGGAGGGTCTCACTAAATTATACACACTGAGGAACCTGCAACAAGAGAGGTTCATCACATCACATGGCACAATGTAAAAAGACAAAGAAAGAGAAAAAATATGTTTCTATTTTGCTAGCGAGATATTAGGAGCACATAAAAGACCATGATAAAGACCAGGTTACTTACAAGTTTTTGATTCTCTTTACAAAAGCTTTGATCACTCTAACCATCCTCCTTATCCGCACCTGTCATCAAAATGAGAGATGGCTCAGTGAATTCAAAACATCGCTGGTAGATGGATTTACTAAAAGACATTTATATTCTCTCCAAGAAAATAAATGTGTCTCATGAGCTGCTTCAGTAGAGTTTCCATATGATATTCTCATGTATTTAATCACTTTGAGTTTTTTTTTTTATTCTCATACATACTGCTCTCTTTCTGCTTGAGTAAATGTATGCAGTTTAATGATGTTATCAAAAAGTGTTTTGAAATTTGGTCCAGCAGCACACAGTCTCACCTGCTGCTTCTTGTACAACAATGGAAAGGAGAAAATAGCGATGACAGCTGTAAAACAAGGACAAAGGAGAAAAGACTGGTTTGCATGGTTTACCTCCCTAAAACATTAAAAATAGTACAAGTACAAAACTTGAAATGAAGGACACTTCACAGCACATTATTACAGCTCTAGAAGTCTTTGAATGTAGGCTGCAGGACGTGTGTGAAAAGGCTCTTCAGGATGAGGTACGAGTGGATGGATGGGAGCACAAAGCGTTTGACTTTGGCCACACAAGAATGTCGGGAGGGTGATCTAATAGGAACCTGAGTAAATGTGAGAAGTAAGGATGGAATAATTTCCACTCACCAGTAATGACCAGAGTCAGCCCGTTGGTTAGGAGACCGACATAGGTCAACAGATACAGGAGCACAACAAACTGGGGGAGAGAGCAGAGAACAATGATAGTTAACGGTTATTCCCTATATTTTTACAATTAATTAATCAGCAATGTCTTGGTTTTCTACGATGCGCTTCATTTATAGACTCAGTTTTCAGGATTTGTTACTGTTCATACATTAACTTGTCTTATTTCAATCATTATTTTATCATCAAGCTCAGACCTTAATAGACTCGATCATGCTGTCGATGAAAAGGAGGCGTTTGATCTCTGTAACTGCAAATGCAATCAGCAACACCACCTCCTCCACTAGCATCACAGTGTCCTTATCTGTCAGAGAGCTGTCATAATCTAGATGCGACCTGGGAACAGACACGTAAACACACAATTAGAAAAACAACAAGCTGTATATATTGAAATTCTGAAGTGAAACAAGTCAACTGAGGCTCTATATTTGGCACAGTAGTGCAACATGATTGAAAGCTTTACAGCAGTTTTCTGCCCCTGGCGTGGGCTTGAAGTTGGGGAAAACAAACCAATGATGCCTCAGTCAGCAGACTCACTGGAAAGGGTGCAGCCCAGGGTTCCAGCGCAGCAGCTCCAGCAGCTTATAGTAAAGACGGAGAGGGAAGGTGACACACATGACACCCAGACAGATGTGGGAGAGCACGGTGATGGCGCTGAGCTGGAACATGCTGGCCAGACCGATCACCAGTCCGGTGAACACCACACCGGTCCTCCTCATGTTCCGCCAGTACACCAGATCCACAACTGCAAAACAAGGTGGACACTTGCTAGAGACAAGAAATTAGATGAGTTACACTGAATGAGAGATGGACAGAGGCAAGTTAAGAAATGTTAACTTTGTAGATCATATACTCCATACTCAGTAAGGCCTTGATCAGTTAGATGATGGAAAATCATTTTGCATAGATATGTTAATCCAACAGATGCTTTTGTTTTTGATTATGGTGAAAAGGATTTAGATGCCTCTGAAGCAGCTGTTTTACCCTGTGATAACATTTGAGTTAAACATACATGACAGATGAGTGAAGAGAACTGAACTAAATTGCATTGACGATGAAAAAGTGACAGTAAAGATGCCTCAGAGAGAGGGAAGTATAGTCAGACGCAATCAGTAAGAAAAATCTGTGCCCATAAAACACATTATTTCATATCACTTTTCCAAAATTCTGCAGAAGAGCTGCCTCTTCAAATTTTAGTCGGTGGATGTGGTTTCAGTCTAACAACCCAAATCATCGTCTTTTATTACAAACAAATCTGCTGCTGCTGACAGAAATGTGACACACATCCCTCTCTCGGTGCCAGAGACGTTATATGAGTGGCAAAATGAAAAGTTATTTAAAAACGAGTAGCAAGTAAAATAAGTAGGTGAGAGGCTGGAGAAAGGATGACAAAGAAAAATAACAGGAGTTAAGCTCAGTACATTATGGAGAGAAAATATCTAAGTAACTATTTTAGTAATCTAAGTAATTATTCATCCATACAGTCATTTCTTCTTACTAAAAAAAGAAGATAGTTTAGGAAAACATGTTTCAGAATGAATTAATTGCTTTTAATAATGAATGAATAATAGATAAATGAATAATTATGCTATGAGCCAGAGTATGATATTAGATGTTCAAGCACGAAAACATCAGATGACCTTCCTAACTCCAGTGTTAATGTCAAGATAATTATCTGATTAAAACAAATCCTTACACATAAACACACACACACACACACACATACACACCAACAACAACAACAACTTGTCTTCCAAAAGACAATTTACAAGCAACAATCACACATTTACACACACACACACACACACACACACACACACACACACACACACATAGACAATTAAAGCAGCAGCCCCAGTTTCATAATCAAGTTTCCGGAGAAATATATATGTTTACACTTTTCTGGTTTTCTTATTTAACAACAAATTTGGGCAAGAAGGTGTTGAGTCAGAAACAGAGACACTCTACTGCTGCTATTATACCTATGAAGTCATTTTCCAAGCTGGGCATAACCATAACCTGACTCTAATTCTAACTTTAATAACAAAGGAAAAATAAAGTCTGAGAAAACAGCCCTGATAAGAAAACACCTATGTCTTATGGGACAATTTGGTAGGAAACAACAGCATTCAATCAGCAACAAGCTCTCATTTTGCTGAGTCCCATTCTCTTCCATCTGTCCACCAAATGAAAGACATACTGGACTCAGTATTTGACTTGCCATCCTGTCTGTATTCACACCTTCCCAGGAGAGGGAAAAAATAAACTCTCTCTTTCACCTGATAGTTGAACTCTGACCAATTCCCTGTCTGCTCCCGTTCACTTTACTTAAAGCTGTCACAGTTTATTTTCCTTACGTTTGGTGGCCATTTCAGCAGCGGTCCTCTTCCTTGCGCTTCCTCCGTTGGCTTGTACTCCAGGCTTTTTTTGGCCACCCGAGCTCCGTCAGCAATATAAGGCCTGGCTGGCCTAATTTTATCCTGTATTGGATACCCCCTGTTTGGATTCGCGCATGCACACACACACACACACACACACACACACACACACACACACACACACACACACACACACACACACACACACACACACACACACAAATACACTCATATTGGGAACCTGAGACATCAGCATGTACATGTCCCTCAGCTTTCAGAGACGCTTGTGGCTCCTCAGCCAGTTGGTGGCCGACCTGCAGGCAGAGGGCTTCACATGCAGCCACGTTATAGCGAGGAACTGCTTTTAATGTAACATTTATCAACAATCAGGATTAATAAGAACACAATCAGTGTTCTGCTATCTCCACCAGCTGTACTGCAGTATTCATCAAAAACTAATGAATTTATATTAAAGCTGGAATCATTACTCAACACACTTTAACAGAGAAATGATTTGAGGTGCCTCACTTATCCCATTTTGATTGCATGCAAGACAGAAAAGCAAACATTTTTCTGCAGGGTTCTGCAGTATTGTTATATGTTACTACTTCTACAACTGCTATTAATATATAATGGATGACAAGTGGGTTGTTGTATAGTGCTTATTCCAACATGCAACATTTTGTTTAATTCTTAATGTTGCAGGCATTATATTACATTATTGTGCATTATTCCAATACAGATACAATAGAGACTGTAAGGTACTTACTATTACAATAAGGCCCTTCAGGCAATGTTGTGATTTGTGGTATTGAGCTATATAACTAAAATTGGACTTGACTTGAATATATTTTCTGAGTAATATGTGTGTATGCTTATAACAAGTCCAACACATCCTCTGAAATCCTCCAAATCATTTATTTTGCTACAGTATTACATGGCTGATTAAGATTTAAGCAGTTAAAACTGCTACAAAACTGCTGTAAGTCATGTTGTGGTGACATGCATAATCATGCAAAACCAAAATCATGTTTCTGCTTGTTTAGTTGAAACACACAGCAGTCTTTTCCCCTTTATCTCTACTGATTTAGATCCAAATTTTCCAAATTTCTTGTCTCTATAAAGATAGAAAATGTACAAATGTGTGGCTTACAATATTTATTTTTTTCAACATTTAAACAGAATACATTTTGCACCCTTGATTAATAACCGCATTCAGCCTATTGCAAACTTTGCTACATTAATAGCCAGAAAAAAAAGTTATCCAATTGTTCAGATAAAAGCCTTCATGTTTCCACTAATTTAATTCAGAATCATATTTTAGGTTTATGATCTGTCACCATGTGAAATGTCAGTTTTAAGGGATCTGTGTACATAATGAAAATAAGTCTTTTTTTCCCTTGTGTCTCTTCTTCCCGCCATCAGCCACACACTTTGTGCTAAATGGCGGACAGTCCTGTAATCCACAGCAGTGGAAGCCCATAATCCCAATTGATCAAAGGTTGAGATTATCATAGATGTGGGAGGGGCAGAGCTTCAGATAGGAGGACGGTGAGAGAGGGTGAGCTCAAACATGACAGTGGGGATTCAAGCCAGGCAGGGATTGGTGCACATAAATAGCCAGCCAATCAGAACAGAGGCAGGGAGAATAACAAGGCAAGGGGAGAGCTAGTGAAAGAGGGAAGAGCTATGAAAAAGCAAGGGAGAAGGGGAAATCACAGCAGCACAGAGAAGAGACAAAACAAGAAGGAGAGGAGGCATGAGTGGAGGAGAGAGTGCTGATCAGTGAGATCTCCAGAGAGGGAAAGGAGAGAAGAGAGGGAGGAGATGAACAGGGAGAGGGGGGTGAGCAGCCAGTACAGGGAACATCCATCAGCTCAGGCAGCCATGCTCTGAGCCTTGGAGCAGCAGGGCTACGCAGACACTGCACAGGCCCAGTATCCGGCCTAGCTCAGCCCTCAGCCACAAACACAGGGAGAAAAGAAGATTCCCCACACATCAGCTGTGCATAAGAGCCATGAGGACAGCCAGGAAGGGCAGCGTGGAGATGCCTGCCTTTGTGCGGCAGCTGGTGAAAGAGACAGAGAAGAGGGTCAGCTCTTTCTTCAAGGGGAGCCGTGGAGGACCAGCAGAGGGAGAGCAACCAGGGGAGGGGGAGAAGGAGGAGGTCATCCCCAGCCCCTACCTGGATCGGCCGGTCCTGGACAAGCTGACAGAGGAGGGCTGCGCCCGCTGGGGCCTCACCTACGCCCTGGGAAGCATGCAGGGCTGGAGGGCCAACATGGAGGACTTTCACAACTGTGTGCCACAGCTGGGTGGAGAGCTGGCCGATTGGAGCTTCTTCGCTGTGTTTGATGGTCACGCAGGCAGCACAGTGGCACAGCACTGCTCCCAGCACCTTCTGGGTCACATCCTAGCCACAGGTGAAAGATATGGACTTAAAATGCATCAGTCAAATGAATATAAAAGATTGAATCAAATATGATTAAATAAAGTGTTATACAATATACAATATTTTATAATACAAATTATTGATTTAATACAATGATACTCAGCTGTTTATTTTTGTTCTAATGAGAAAACTTTCTTCTTACTGTGATTTTTCCCTGTTGTCAAACATCAATGTCATGACTGATCATTTCTCATTGTATTCTGCAAACATCTATTTTATTCTATGAGGTTATGTGTTTTAATGGGATGCTTGTGTCAGAAAACGCTTTTCTAACATCGCACCTCTGTGTGCAAACAGGTGGAATAGGGCCAGAGGACGACCCTCAAAGGGTGAAATGTGCCATCACTGAAGGCTTCCTGCAAACAGACAAGCACTTGCACTCTGTGGCACGTCGAGAAGGCTGGGAGAGAGGTGGCACCACTGTGGTGGCCACTCTCATCTCACCGTATTACATCTACTTCGCCAACTGTGGTGACTCAAGGGCCATGCTGTGCCGGTCTGGCCAGGTTTGCTTTTCCACTGAAGACCACAAACCTTATAACCCTCTTGAGAAAGAGCGAATTGAGAGCGCAGGTGGCTCTGTGTCCCTCCAACGGATCAACGGCTCCCTGGCAGTCTCCCGTGCTATGGGGGACTTCAGCTACAAGGGGGCAGAGAACCGGACGCCCAGCCAACAGATGGTATCACCAGAGCCAGAGGTGTGTGTGGTGGAGCGCTCACCAGCGGACGAGTTCCTGGTGCTCGCCTGCGACGGGGTGTGGGACACCATCAGCAACGAGGAGCTGTGTGCCTTCATCCACAACCGGCTGCGTGTATGCACTGACCTGAGGGACGTCTGCACTCAAGTCATTGACCTCTGTCTCTATAAGGTCAGAACCTGCTGCCTCAAACCAGTGCCCATGTTATCTTAGTCCCTTTTAAATACAAAGTGATCCAGGGCCTTTGCATTTCTGCAGCAGTTTAAATAGCAAATCCTTTTAAGTGATTATGAACACAAAACAAAATTTCACTTTAAAACTGACTTACATAATTTTTAAAGGGCTGTGGATTTTATGTAATAACATAATCGCTTGAACTGTGACTGTGTTGAGTTGGCTTGCCTTGATCTGAAGACTATCATCTCATTTTTTGAGAAAACAGCTCCGCTTTTGAAACGCAACTCAGGGACAGTTTCTATTTGATTCATACTACACACACCTTATCAATCACAATCAATCTTGTATGTTCATTACACTCAGGCTTTCAAAACAAATCACTGTAGTCTCACCTACTTTTAACTTTGATTAGATAGGTAGTAAAAATTGTATATGGTGGGCAGGTAAAGATAAAGATAAAAAGTTTAAAACCATTACATGCAGGTGGTTGCTAACACAGGGACTTAAGATCCACCAGTGTGAACACTTACATTAGTGAAATCTGCGCAGTTCAGTCATTGCCTTTGGATGTATGATAGACAGCTATGAGTAGAAGTAGCCAATATGTGCTATAGATTTAAGTAATATGACACTGAACATGGTATTTCATAGTGTCACTTATCACGTTTGGTCACCCCAAAAAGTTTCGATCTTATTTTTTTTTTGGCTACTAGGGGGCAGCAAAACATGCTGTGAACATAATGCTGAAATATTATGACCTTAAAGTTGATATGGTGAACTTCTTCGCAAACAGTTGCTTATGACCACTTGGCAAATTTAAGTCCAATATCTGCTCTCCTTTTTGTTAAATTTTGCTCTCTGCCAACACATGAGAAATATCTGTCCCGTCTGACTTTCTGCAACATTATTGGAGCGGTGAGAGTGAACCAAACGTAAAAAGTAAAGTTATGGGCCATAAATGAAGTTTTAAGCTCCACAGAGCTGAGGGGAGCTATGAAGTCTGGTGATAATTCTCTGTGGGTTCATCACTATAAGCAACTACTTTCACATACCATTAATCATGTGATTCATTGTTAATATAAAAAATATTGTTCATAGGCGCTTTAAACACATCCATGTCCATACAGAGGCGAAGATCTGTAAGTGAACCAGAGAATAGCATCTTTGGGTGTAATAGCATAAATTTACACTGAAAAATCAGCAGTGACTTATGCTAAAGCTTTGGTTCAGTGAGTCTCTCACTGTTGCTGCTGTTGGTACAATAGTCTTACAGACCACCTTAAAATAGACCGCAGAGGTGTCAGAACAGGTTACATGGGATTATTCTAGGTTCCTATGCAGACTCATTTCAGCCGCTTTCTGAGGGTGTCAGATGGGTGATTCAAGAACACAGAATTGCATACATAAAGAAATCATTTCAGACCAGAGAGTAATTATTCCACTACAGCAAGCACTCATATTACAGCTGCTTGAGTTATGGGTGTTTAGTGAAGGTTTTTTTTTCACTAAAGAGTAATTAATCTGTAGAATAAAGGAAGACGTTTTTAGCTGTTAGGTCGTACCCATAATTTAAATCATTCATATTTTCTACCTTAGTTGAAGATTCAAATTCATACCCTATTTAAACCAGGTTCCACAGTACCTCAAGGCAATTCATCAAAATAAATTGGGCTTGTAAATGTTGCATTGAGTCAAATAATTATATCAGGATAAACATGGGCCACATGTGCACTGTTATGTGACAGGGCTTCAGCTTGGATTTGCACAACCTCAAAATGTCACAGCTTCTTCCACACCCCATTTACATTTTTCCTGCTCTACTGCATCTGTGTGACACTGGTGTCCAGACCTTGAGGTGAAAATAATCTATTTCTAAAACAGCTCACACAGGATGAAATAATGCTTCATATGTTGACATTTGTAAGGTCAGCCATCATTACTCACCTCTGCTGACACCGCTTCGCTCTACAGGGCAGCTTGGACAACATCAGCATCATCCTGCTGTGCTTCCCTGGAGCCCCCCAGCTGTCAGCAGAGGCATTACACCAGGAGGCCAAGCTGGAGGACCTGCTGGAGTCCAAAGTAGCAGGTATGTGGGTATAATGATATTAAGCGTTAGGCATATTAGATGGAGGATGGATTAATATTTGAAGTCTGATTTTTTTTTTCTGTTTTCTTGAGATTTATGGTTTGCTCTTGAAACACATCAAGATGAAACTCTTCAACACCTTTCTTTTACTATAAGCTTATCCTTATAGGGTGGCAGGGGGGCTGGAGCCAAACCCAGCTGACATTGGGTGAGGGCGGGGTACTTCCCGGACAGGTCGCCAGTCTATCACAGGGCTGACATATAGAGACAAACAACCAGTCACACTGGCATTCACACCTGGGCACTTTAGAGCCACCAAACAACCTAATGTGCATGTCTTTGGACTGTGGGAGGAAGCTGTAGTACCCGGACATAACCCACGCAGGCACAGGGAGAACATGCAAACTCCACACAGAAAGGCCCCAGGCTAGGGGTTCAATCCCCTGAACCTTCTTGTTGTGAGGCGACAGTGCTAACCACTGTCTACTGTGTCACCGCTCTCTTTTATTAGTTCTCCATTTTTCTTGCCATCAATAAATCCCATGAGACGACCAAAAGCATCAATGAATTGATCCTCCTGAGAATAACAATTGTCTGTGGAGCCAAAGCCTGATATAATTTATTCCTCTGTGACATAGAGCTCCACTGTACAAAAAAACTATTAAAATCTCTTTAATGAGTCACTCCATTGTGGTGGGTGTTCCTTCATTACCATGAACACACATTGTAGTTTGTTTTGAGTCATTTCGACATACTTCACTGAAGGTTAATGATAAAGAACATAGAATTGCAAACACATGTGCAGTTTGGTGTCGTAAACACTGTACTCACTAGTGCACCAAATGTGTATTAATCCACAGCTAAAACTATGCACAATTTACTCCTGTTTGAGAGTTAATTCTGTAATGTGAAACTGTTTACGGAAATTATTTAGTATTTTTGAAAATAAAAAAAAAAAAATTAATGTGTTACCTTTTTTTGTTGTTTTTTTTTGTTTTTTACAAATATATATGCACTAGGAATTATTGAGAGATCGACTAACATATTGTTGGCAATATGTTGACAATAGAAAAATACAGAATAAAGTCAACCTTACTGTATGTTATCTGCATGTAAATCTTGAGAAAATGCCCGTAACCCCCTTAATTTGTTTGTGTGCCTGTTTTCATGTTTCTTTGTTTTGATATCTGACAGAAATCTATGATGAGCTGTGTGCTAGAGGAGAGGAGCCTGACCTGCTGTCTGTCCTAACAGTCCTCGCATCCACTGTCATCCCTGGATTACCACCAGGTGGAGGCATACAGAGCAAGTAAGAGAATCAGAATGTGTGTTTATGTGTATGCGTGTGAACATCTATACTCTGTACTGGGAAATTATACCATGTTACTTCTCTGTGTGTTACAGAAGGAACTGCATTATATCTGCTTACTATCAACAAAGAGAGACACACAAGCCCACAGTACCAAATGTGAGTACAATTATACATCTGTCCAATTCTAACCATTAGAGGACATGTTATTTCCTTCACTATGCAAATGTAAATGTAAATGTAAAAATTATGTATATTCATCACTATATCCTAAATTGACTGTCTGCCAGGGCCTGGGAGGCTCCTGAGAAGCCCTACTGGAGTTTGTCTCCGAGGATCCATGGAGGGACTGTAACTACTGTCGATATTAAAACTGTTTTCTTCATGTGTGCAATTTGATAAAAAGGGAGATGATGAACAGACAGGGGTGTTTGTTTACATCATGCTAACAAGTAGCATCTTGTCACAACAAACACAATGCAAAAATAGATCTTATAAAGCCTGATACATTTATATTTATATAAGAAGGACATTTTGTAAAACTTACTCAGAGACACTGACCCAGCAACAAACCTCTGCCTCATATTCAGTGAACAGAAAGTACAGATGATCATTTCAAATGACGGCCTGTAAAACTGAATAATAACCAACTGTGAAATTGTCCGTTTTCATTTTTGGATAGTATAAGTACATGTAGGGTTGTATTTTAAAGATGATGTTTTAAGAATAGATATAATAGAATAATAATTTAAGGAATTTTCCATTTGCCTTTCATCTTCAGGAAAAACAAATTGTGAAACACTGTATTTGTTACAACAGGAAATGCTAATAGCTGGTGGCTGATGGGAGTGCACAAATATATATTTTTCTCTCATGGTTGGAAGTGACAGGCAAATAAACATTGATTAAGTATTTTATTCTGCTAAGTAAGTCTCAATACGTACACACACACACTCATCAAGAAAAAATACATTTCACAGATTATCTAAAATTTTTTGAAGAGGTGTTTACTTTTATAACTTTTTGTTGTTGTTGTTGTTGTTGTTGTTGTTGTTGTTGTTGTTGTTGTTGTTGTTGTTGTTTTTGTTGTTGTTGTTTTTGTTGTTTTAAACATATAGAGTAAAATCCACTCTGCTGGAGTGTTGTTTGGAAAATTAGTTCTTTGTTGAAATAAAAGTTAGATTATTAACAAAAGAGCTCTATAGCATGTTGCAGTTTGGTGACCAGAAATGGAATAAAAGTATCCAAATGAACTAAGATCTATATTTACTGACCAATCAAAATTTATTTTACATAAATAAATTCTACATGTACACATTTTGTGTGATTCTTTCCATATATTAACCATATTACTGAACACATTCTTCAATACAGAGTATATGAAATGTATTTTTTCCATAAATTGGATGACATGTTCTGTGCTGCCTTATTCATCTTTTTTAGAGTTGATAAAGCAAACAGCATAAGACATGGGTCGTTTTATCTGCATCATACTGCATTATTAAATTATTTCAGTGAGTAATTCCGTGTATAGACATTACATGTTAAAGTCATGATTGTTTTAAATCTAAATAAAGAATATTTGACTGGCAACTTGCTTTGTTTTTACCCACGATAACCCACTAAAGAACTATATTCCTCATTGCTTTGAAATTAGAAACAGTAAAGACAATTCATTAAGCGTGATCACTACAGCGAAAATTGATGATTTTGGTTCCTGTGAGATCTCTAAGGAGGAAGCTTTTCTCCACACACTCATCCAAAGCACTGATGAAAATCTGCCTTATAGATGATACAGGATGACACAGGATGGATTAAATGGGTTTTCTTGCATAGTAAAGGATCTCCTCCAGCTGGCCAATGAGAGACCGAATCTTGCTCACCGTTCGGTTAATGTGATCCTGTGGCTATCTGTACAGCACTTATTGACATAAGGACGTCCTCTACAGGCCACATTTGATTAGATGTGCTCCATTGAAAACTCTGGATCTCAGTGCTTTTTCATGATTACTGTGAATTTCAATGACATGGGCTGATGAAAAAAGGTGGGCTACTTCTGAGCAATCAACAAATTAAAATGTCTCTTTCTCCGAGCTCCTGTAGTGGGTTTGAGAAGCTCTGTTGAAACACTAATCACAATTCAAATGTTTTATATATGCAGATGTCTGTTAGCTTAGAGGAGACTGTAGATAGTCTGGCTATGTCTGTATGTTCACTAATACTGACTACTACCTCACATACAACCATATTTCTAGAGAAGGACAGGGGACATGTGCAGCACTCTTAAATCAGCAGTCCCCTCTGAGTGGTCCTTCACTGCTTCTTTCATCTGATTGCGTTTGTATGAGCCAATCACTTCAGGAAATCAGACCCCTCTTCACAGTGATGCTGAATTCTATAAATTGTATTCATCTTTCTCCTCACAGAACAAAATGTGAACAATTATTTGGTGTCCAGCATCCATGCTGGAGGTCTGCTATTATCTGCATAGACTTCCACTGACATTACTCAGAGAGACTCTAAACAGAGGCTAATTAGAGGAAAATGATTCCATCTATCTCTTTGTTGTGTCGTACTGAGAGGGCAAATTATTGACTTTCTTGAGATCACTCAGTTATGAAACAGGTTGGATTAGGGCTCTAATATAAAGACCCTAAAACAATGTACACACAAATAAAATCTTAGTGTGTTATACAATGTGGTGCTATCTATCCACACTGGTTTCTTGTAGGCGATTATTCATAATGGCCAAGGCCCCTACTCCACCAGAGAATCCATTCTGATGGCCGTAGCTCTGCCGTGGGCCCTGATGAGCTGTTTCGCTCAGCTGCTTCTGCAGCAGTGCCAGAGACACCTTATTGGACACCATGAATTCATTGACAGAGATCATCTCTCCTGACAGACGACGGCCCATGTATACCCCATCAGCCACTGCACCTGCCTCCGTCTCACTGTCACACACTGTCTCCACTGAGCCGTCTGTGTAGCCGCGTCTTCCTGCAGGGCAGTGGGATGAGATCGGCTGCACAGTGTTGCGTTTTAAGCATTTTTGCCTGATGTGTGCAGGCAGGCGCCTCTGGTTGTGATTTTTGTTTTGGAGGCAGGGGCAGCAGAGCCCCCAGCAGCCAGGTGCACAGCAAGAGCAGAGCTGATGCTGCCCCGAGCAGACCAGCTTACCCAGAATCCAGTTGAGAGTTTGCTTTATGACAATAGAAATGACATTGAAAAGTGAGTAGATACAACATACTCCCATTAAAATGAAAAGGCAGTTCCCGAGCCGGTAGGCTTCCTGGGACTCATACTGCTGTCTCTGACTGCTCACCAAGTCCCCGAAGCCAATGGTGCTGAAGGCCACGAAGCAGAAGTAGAGGGAGTCCACGTAGCTCCAGTTCTCCATGGTGCAGTACAGGGTGGAGGCACTGCAGGCGATCACGATTGATGCTATTCCCAGGATCAGCATAACATAATAGACTGATGGTTTCCAGCCTTCCAGGCTGTCCTCCTCGCCAGATGTCTCCTCCCTGCTCGACATCACCCCAACCCCACCACACCTCAGCCGACGTTCATGACACCAGCGCATGATGTAAGCTAGCATCGTGATGATCCTCTCCAGGAAGAGGTTAAAGAAGAGGATGGTGGCAGCACAGCCAATGAGACCGTAGAAGATCAAGAATATTTTTCCAGCGATGGTCGCTGGTGTGGTCATGCCAAATCCTTGAGAAGACATACAAAATAAAAGGTTCAAAGGTCATGGTTCATAAACAGTACTGTTTTGGACTTAGTATCTCATAAGCAATATGGAAGAACTTCTGAAGAAGAATCTGAGAAGAAGTTGTGTAAAACTTTGTAAAGGTGAAGACTTACCAATAGTAGAGACCACAGTGCCCACAAAGTAGAAAGCTCCGGAAAAGTCCCATCGGGGCCTCAGCGCATCCACTCTGATCCCAGCTCCATTTGCCTCCTCGTACTGTCTCAGCAGAGTATGAAGGGCACCCAGGTTGACCCTATACCGCTGGGTGAAGTTGTCCAGTTGTTGTTTCCAGAGGCGGCGGGCACGCAGCTCAAAGGGGTGCTCCAGGGCTGAGAAGATGGCAGCCCCACATAATAAGTAGAGTAAGATGAGCCCAGCCAGAAGGCAGAAACGGGCGTTGTCTTCATTCATGGGCACCCTGGGGCAGCAGCAGCCACCAGCAGCCCTCCTCTGAGCCATGAGCACAGCAGCAGCACAGATACACCACTGCAACAACATGCACTGCTTCTGCCAGCGCTGCCAAGTCACAGACTCACACTATGTTTTGCATGCATCACCTGAATGCACTGACTATATGAAACACTTTTGGTTCAAATTCACAGGGATACATCTGGCTCTAAAATTACATTAGGACAGAAAATATCTCTTGAAGAGGGTTACAGAGGGCTGCTTTGATTATTTAGAAGATTAAGCATCTGAAGATAATAGCCTGTAACAAAACAAAAAACACATATATTAGCAGTATGTTCACTAATATGGTAATATCTTATTATTATTTAATTTTGCATAACTGTATATGCTTTATTTTTCCCCTTATTAATAAAAAATTAATTCAACCACAAAAATCTGACTGAAAATGTGACAAGTTTTGGTTAAACCAGTAAATCATAAAGACATTTGTGACAAGGAAACACTAAATTCATGAGTCAGTAGAGGTGTATGATATGTAATCCACGCATAGACCAAATTATCAGTTTAATTTAAATAAAAAAAAATAAACACTTAGTACCTGGTCTCCTTGACAGCAGTGTCCGTTTCCTGAGCGTTGCTGGGCTGCTGTGCTCGATCCATGGATCTGCTGAACAATGACCAGCGAAAGGAAGCCTCTGGAGTTTTTTATGCAAACTGAGAGGCTGTCTGATGTTTCATCTGTCAAACACTGACATCATCATTCCCTTGCCCACACCCTCTGTCTTTGAGCACACCCTGATTGGTGCAGTCATCTCTTCATTTTAAAAGCACTTTCCTTTCTCTCAAGCCTTCATCACGCCTCAAATCAACTTCTCCTGCAAGAGCAACAAGTGACACAAGGTTTACTTTAAATAATTGGTCCCTTAATCACTGAGTTACATCAACCAAGGAATTTCAAGTCCTGATTGAAGAAGATGATCAACTGAAATTAATGTTTAGCAGTGATACAAACATTAGACCATTAGACAAGCGTCATGTAAGTACATGTAGGGTTGTAATTGTATGTACATAAGCTCATCAGATAAACATGAGTTAGGGCATGAGCAAGTCACTGAACCCAAAACTGCCCCAGTGGGGTTTTCTCAGTAGCCACCATATCAGACTGTAGTTGTACTGTGCAGCTTCCAGTCCCTCTGAGAGGGCTTTTTGTTGTTGCTGCAGACTGTGTGGGAGGATTTGTTGAGCATGACTTTCAGTTTCTCTGTCTGTCCATCCCTTTAATCTTGTGTGATGCTGCAGGCAAGGGCAGGGGTTCCCTCTGCCAGCCGTCTCATGGCTGAGTGACAGGAGAGGACAGGTGTGGAAGACAGAGAGCACATCTAGCTTCATGTCGCCAGTCAAGTTTGATTCATATCCTCATCTGTTCAGATTTAGAGCACAGCTTATCAATAATTTTTACATGATATCTTAATGAATGCATCAATGCATTACTTTCCCAACAGAATTACTTTACAATTGATTTAACCAATACCTGGACAATAAAATATATGTTTTTAAATAATGAGCTCAATTGTGTGCTTTATATAACACCCAAATATATATAACCCAGGATTTAATCGTGGCGTTGGCACAAAATTAGCAGTTACGGAATTTACTTGATGTTGATTTTTTCAGTCATCCACAACAGAGTAAAAACACCAAATGCTGTCAATCAACATCCAAAAAATCAAAATCCAGCTCGCCCTCATGATGTTTCTGGAGTCACCTTGACCAATAACCGTTACTGAGACAAACGGATGCAAATTTAAAGCAGGGTTCCTGTCTGAGTGTCAGCTGCAGGGAGGATAAACCAATGTTAAAATCTCAATGTGTAACTGAAAATAAACTGATCAGAAACTTTAACAGCTGATAATGGCATAAACTCTAGTCACTGATCTTTCAATAAATGAAAGTAGAACTACTGTGATATAATATTACTCTTTATTGCTCTGATAAACACTGCATCAGATAATGTTTATCTGCTGTTGCTGTCATTGGGCCTAGTTTAATTTGTAGATAAACAAGAAGTCTTCAGCATGCTAGCGGCTGTGTGGGTCTCTATTTATGGATAACTGAGCTATAGGCTAAAGCCAGTATGCTAACATGCTCACAATGATAATGCTAACATGCTGATGTTTACCAGATATGATGTTTAAAACTCTCGCTATCTCAACTTAGCATGTAACCATTTGCTAATTTTCAGTAAATGTAGTGCTGAGAGTTTTCAACCTGTTGATGGCCCTAGATGAAACCAAACTTCATGGCAATCCATAGTTGTCATATGGTCTCACTTAAGTGAAACACAGTGAACAAAATTAAAGAAAAAAATATTTCATTTTGTCCTTGTCTGTTTGACTAACCATAAACATGCCACATTCAAATAATCAAAGTTTATTTATATCTGATTGGTTGGTCTGGTCATATAAAACTGGATACAGCGAGGAGAGCAGTTACTTCACCATCATTTCACTTCACCACTACACAGCTGCTTACACTCTGGTTACCAGCCCACTTCACTCACACTCAGTGACTTGACTCTGATGAGAAAAGCCTAGTTTTAGTTTTAGTTAATCCATGAGATTTAATCCGATCGATTTATTAGGCTACTTTCAAATTGTGGTTTTTGTGATTATTTATTGTCAGTCATTTGCAATCACCTTCTAGATGTAGTGGTTTAAAATTAAATACATTATGGGCTTATGTATTATTAGATTCTATGGATAACATAAAACAATGAATTTTATATTTTACAGTCTTAAAGGACACTCATAGAGGACTCCTGTAACGAATCAACCACATCTTTAATTTTTTACCCCCCTCATACTTTTGTTCATTGCTTTATTTTCCTACAGAGCTCATTCTATCAAGTCTGACAACACAATCATTTCAGAAGCCAAGCCATCTGCAGTCATTCATTTCTAAGTGATGAAGGAAGTTTGACATTGGATTTCCACACATTTTTAGAGTGGCATTCAGGTCAGTGGCAGCATGTTGGCTAGGATATCAATGAGGTTGTCCAGACCCCTCAGGTAGCCATCTTCTCGATTGCCCTCTACCCAGGGAGTGCGGTGGTCCAATGTGAGGTGTGGCGGCAAGGCCACTGTCTTTCCAAAGTCAATCATCCAGACTCCTGTTCTGCCTGTCCAGTCATGCACAAACAGTAAGGAACTGCCGACAACCTGCAGGGAAACAGCTGTTAAGAAAAAATGAAAAATGACAAATGTACTATATTATTAGCCTAAGCCTGCCCAGACCTGCTAACAAACATAGGCTCAAAAACACATCATTCATTTCCAGTATAGATCTTTTAGAACAAGATATGGGTGTTTTCTCCTTTACTTTCGCAAAATCTTAATCAAAACATCTGGTACACTGTTCAACAAAACTATCACACAGCTTACCTCATGTGTTCTGAAGAAGTCAGATGCCTCCAAGACCTGCCGCAACTGTTTCAGCTGTCTCAGATAACCCCACTGAAGGGAAAGATACAAGACTTACAGAGGAAGAAGTAGCAATAGAAGTAAACAAAGTCAGTGAATGCTACACTCACCACAATGTGCGTACTGGATTCAACAAATTTGTCAAGTGCTTCCATCACTTGCTCTCTGCTTTTGGTTCTTTTGAAGTTTGTGTGGCATTCTTCATTTGCCTTCTGCACATTAAAAGGTACGGATCACAGCATTGGAATCCAATATTTATAGCAATAAAAAAAATTGTAATTTTTATTGGTGCAAAAATTTAAAAAAAAACTGCATTTTTCAAAAAAGGACTGTCAACCTAGCAGCATTTATTCACTATATCACAATGGAGCAATGACCTGAAACAACCATCTATGAAGAGCATACCCTGAATCCCTCGATGCGGAATCCCAGAGTTGTCGTGGAGCTCAGCGTCTCCCTCCACTGCATGTACCTAGTCTTCAGCACTGCCTGCTGGGCTCGTTCATGGACTGTTGGGGCTTCTGGGTCCATAGCCACCATCTTCTCATACATGTCATTACGAGGCTGGGGACGTTCTCGGGCTATGTGCAGCTCCTCCTCAAGATATGTGCTGTGAAGGACAGTGCCTCATTGTCTTTATTGTGAATGGAGAATATTAATTGTATTAGACTTATTACAATTGTGAAAAAAGAGCTTTTCAGAGGAATACATTCCTTTTACATAGGAATAAATAGTATGATTGAAGCATAAAATATGCTAATTTGTCAAGTTAATAAAGATCTTTTTATCCCTATGTATGATAAATGTAAGTAAAACAAGCTACTATTAAATTTATAGGTCTTTTGTGTATTTCAGTCAGTTCAGTTAATATGTTATTGGCCTATTTAAACAATTGTTATTATTTTTCTGCTTATTTTATCACTAAACGATTGTGTTCCCTTTTTTTGATATTCAGGTTGTATCAAAAACTACAAGGCCTTTTTTGTGGTGTAGTTTTGTACTATATTTCTCCTCCTATGAATTTGCATAAAGAAAACTCCATCAGCTTCTGACAGTAACAAAAAATGCCCCGTTAAAACTCACCGGCTGCCCATTTTGCAGTCCATGATGGCAGGTGTGTGGAAATGGGTCAGCAAGTTGTCCATCATGTTGTAATCCTGTTTGTCCCGCTGCACCACACCGTGGTAGGCTGGAACAAAGGGCCTCAAAGTGTCCGTCATCAGCCTGAGGTAGCATTGTTGCTCCGTCCTACAAAATCTCTTCAGCAGTGTACCATAATCCCCTACATGAAAGCTCCCTGTGAAGACAAGCAAGGAAAAGAAGAATCAGGAGTTAAAACACAAGAAAAAATCACATTGTGAATATTTTGTTTTTTTTAATCAGAATTAGACTCGCTGAGGAGTAACATGAAAGACAAGTGAGGCCAGATAAACAAACCTGCATGTCCGACCACTTGCAGCCACTTCTGAGGTTTCTTGGGAGTCATAGGAACAAGAGACGAAGTCCGGCAACTTTTGTGTTACTTCCATGCAGACCTGCATGGGAAGACAAAAAGAACCTAGTCAGTCATTCCTCAGAACATACACACTGCAGGTCACACTCCTGTGCTGCCTGTGTTTTTTTTTGGATCTTCATGGACAGGCAGCAAGGACCTCAGACTTCAGAGTTAGTCACTCAAGGTTTTGTCTATTGGTTGAACAACATCTCCATGGAAACAGCCCTTCACTAAGACAGAGTGAAGACTTGCAGAGGACAAAGTCGGCTCTGGTGTTATGCAACAGGTTCATCAAACATTTACAGGGAGCACTTGTTTTCTACTGAAAACTGCTATTAACCACTTAACCAAACAGTGGAACGCTGAACACACATATGATGACAATTATCAACATGGAAAATTTCAAAATAATGTTGAACATGTACAATAGTGTTGATACAATTGTGTCAGAAAAACAGCTTCACACGTATGAAGAGTTGTTGGTTCTGTTGGTTCATCAGATCATTATAAATGAAACTGTAAGGCATCACACAAATATTTTATGGAGCAAACAGTTAACTAATTAACAAGAAAAATAAAAAGTAGGTTAAATGAAATAAAAGAAATAAAAGAAATATAATTATTTGCAGATGTAAAAAGGTATCATGTTACATGATTACCTGCAGAATACAACATTGTACAACAATGTACAACATTCATTAAAGGCATCATACTATTTACTGTTTATAGGATAGTGGTTGCTAGTCTTCCTGGGGTTCATCAATGAACACAGATAACGTAAAAATATGGACATTCAAAATTGACATGAAGAATATCAAATGCCAAGAGTATACTTCTACTCTACACTTCAGAGGAAATTATTACTTTTTACTCTCCAGTATTTATTTGACAACTCTAGCTACTATAGTTACTTTGCAGATTAAGGTTTTACATGCACAACATATGATCAGTTTATAAAATATGATGCACTGTTAGATATGACACTATCCAAAAGTATATAAAGCAGTTGAAGTTAGTGCCACTCTTGTCAACTACAACAGTAAAATGCTGTTTACAGATTATTATTAGTGTTATAATAATACTGTAATTTACCCATTTTCTTTCTGCATAATGAGTATCAAGTACTCAGTACTTGTGATACCACTTGAAGAATTTTTTGCAGTATTATCAGTGATGAAACTTCTATGAGTCAGTTTTGGAAGTGCAGGACTTTTACTTATAATGAAGGATGTTTATGGTTACAGTATATTGCTACTTTTACTTAAGTGAAACATCTTATACTTCTTATATTTCTATGGGTGGGGTTCAGTATTGATACTACCAAGGCTTGTTTTGAATGCTAGTGTCAATAGGATCTATACTAAAGAAATGGATCCATCACATGTTAGATTCCATAGATGCATGTGAATATTTAACAGCAAATAGTAAAAAGAAATGTTTCATTTTTGGCCTATTATCTGGTAATAATGAAAATATAATCAAAAGTAGCCTGTTAATAATGCATTCACCTCACAAATCATGACACATTTATCTCCCTTGTTTTAACACTAAAACGTTGAAATGAAATTGTAGTATTTTCCACTTCTAACTTCTTCAAATACTGTCCTCTTGCAATAACGTTAAAGGCAGTGTGTATTCATGACCTGTAGGGGGCAGTGATGCGCCTGAGAGGCGGCAAACCTCCGTCAATTTCAGTGAGAGGAAGATGCAGCACAGACAGCGCAAAGAGACGAAGAAGAATTTAACGGTTCCCGGTTGTTGAACCGCTGCACCCTCCACGGTGCCGGTGGCTTACAGGCTGATTTGGGATCGAGTGAGCCACCGGTCAGACGGTTGGCTGTTTCATTTACTTCACCAAGCCATATCACCACGATGTGTTAACAACGAGCAGCTATGTGCTAATAACTCACCTCACCCAGGATCATTACTGCAAACAAAGGTAACGTTAATGTGTTTTTGTTTGGCGATTACTCGCACATCGTATAACGTTACGTGGGTCACTAAGAGATAAATTGAGATGAATTTACTAACTTGAGTTACCCAGCTTTAACTAACGGTAATGTCCGTGCTAGCCAACCTTAGCTAACGTCAACGTTACCAGTGCGAAGATGTTATTCCCGCTAGTTGACCTATTAACAGCAAAGTGGAAGATAACGTGGGTATTTTTGAGTAGAGCCGACCCTTAAACTTAAAGTTATCGTAGCTAAACCAGCAACATTGGATATTGGATATTGTTATATCCAATGTTTTATCATATACGGTGAAAGACGAGGTTAACACAGGTAACATGTCAGTCTCTGTCACTCTGTACGGGAGAAAGTGAAGTCAAGCGCGAAATCTAAACAGCATTTTAATGCAGCAAAATAGACAATGATTTAATAACTTACCTCTTAAAACACGATTTAAGGCATTTCATCTGAGTTTTTGACATATGCTATGACCCATCAACCCGAACTTTTTTCAATAAAAATGATGGCACCTTTTGAAATGTACCCTGTCTGCTCGCTACCGCCCCCCGCGGTGTGATTTGATGAAGACAAACTTTGAGGTGAGTCAGGTGAAACAGGAGAGAAAGCCAGAACAGTGATGTGGAAAAATTTAAAATAACTAATACACTACATTGCTGTCATGAGAAATAATATCTATAGCTAGATTCATAATTACAGATATCCATCCTATTGCTATATCCCCATGGTCTGTGTTTTTGCAACTAGGTTTTTATGATAGTGACAAAAAAAGCATGTAAAAGTTAAAGCAAATCTGCACAAATCAAGATCAACTTAGCACAAATATAAAGTACTTTCCAAAAACAACACTGAGTTAAATGCACTGAGAATAACTAGTTTACTGCTCAGCAATGTGGCTTTTGGGTTGTTTCTGTAAAGCTATGAACGCACTAATGGACAAATGAGTTACTCAGAAACGTGGCATGCATCATTTAATGACTGCTTTTCAGAGATTACAGTTGTCTCCATTCGGATTTATCTTGTGAACCTCTTGAAACCATTGGGACTCAAGTTCAGATTTGTCCAGATTTATTAGGTTGTTCGTGATGGCTCCATTTGATCTGAGGCACTGCTGCAGGGGACAACAGATCTAAATCCCAAACCCCCACCACACTAAGAATCAACGTGCTGACTGTGAACAGTGAGCTCCCCTGTTTTTTGCAGACATGAACTTTCTAAGGCTTCCCAAGCTGTTTGAATCTAGCTTTCTTAGTCAGATCATGGTTGTGATCAGGCTTTAGATCTTGTAGTTTTTCCTGACATCAGACGTATGTAGCTTTATTCCAGTTGCTTGTAATTCATAGACATCAATTATTTATTCTGCACAGATCCAGAGCAATGGAGGAGGGCTCTGAGGTGATGGAGGATATTGTATTTCGAGGGGTGGAGTTTTCTGTGAAGATAGAGGTGGACAAGGGTTCGCTGATGGTTGAAATCTCTGACTCAGTGACAGCAGATCAGTGGAGGGGGGGATTTGATCCAGCATGTAAGTAGCATAAATTTAACATTGACTAAATACAAATAGTCCTACTCACGATATTTACATTTATTTATTTATTTATTTTCAGATATTGAAGACCTCACTCGGAAAACTGGTAACTTCAAGCAGTTTCCCATTTTCTGTAGCATGTTGGAATCAGCTGTTAGAAAGGTACGTTTGATGTTGCACTCATACATAGATAGAATAAAAAGAGGAAGGAGGAAATGTAGAGGTGGTAGAAATAAAGTCAGTAGAACGATATGAAGATGTGAAGACAGCCACACACACACACACACTCGCTCCAGGCTGTGTGAGCTGAGGCGAGACTCATTCATTTGAGTTCAGTGTTTCCACTTGAGCGAAAATTGTACAGTTGTCCCGAACTGTCTTGTTCCCTTTTCTCCTACTCATGAATGTACAGGAACAGGGGCTAAAAGGAGAGAGGGCCTGGAGGAAAATAGGAGTAACTATTGGAATTATGGGTACATTGAGAAATCAGTCTCGGTCTCAGTCAACTGTCGTATACACACGAGCAAAGCAAACACACACACACACAACCTTTTGTGTGTGCTGTTCAAACAAACATCCATACTGTCTGTCAGGCTGTTTGTGGCTTAAAAAAAAGTAACACACTGACCACAAAAACCCAAGCAGCCAAATTTTGTGTAAAGAAATTTGGCTCCTGTTGTATCTGAATGTAACTTAAATGCATGATTCTCATCAGAGAAAAATACATAATCATTATTCTTTGTGTATTATAATAGGGGAAGCATATAAAAAAAATATTTTACATGTTTTACATGTCCACAAAATCTATTTTTAATTTTTGATGTTGTATAGTGAATTTGAGCTTTTTCTGCAGACGAGTGATTCTGTTACACTTGACCTTTTGACCTATGCCGACCTGGAGCTGCTACGAAACAGAAAAGCAGGAGTGGTTAGTCGTCCTCGCGGACATCAACAGTCATCTGCACTCACTGCCAAAAGATATCTAATCCTCATATACACTGTGGAGTTTGACAGGTGTGTGTCTCTCTGTGGCAACGTTTACATATTCACAAACTTTGCTTATGCATTATGTCCTCTTTTGACCACAGATTTAGTTTGTGAATATTTTTGTTGTGTCAGTGGCAACAACTGGCCTGATATGCTGATTTGCTGTATTTGAAGGATACACTACCCTTTACCCCTGCCCTATGTGGGTAAGCCTGACCCAGCTGCCCTGCAGAAGGAAATCAGAACCCTCAGGGCTGAGCTCAGCGCTCTCACCTCACATGGAGTTGACAAATCAGCAGGACTAGAAATACAGCGGCTACGAGCAGAGTAGGTTGTATTTAATGTTCGTAACTTACCATGACCAATATGAAGGGATGCAGGACTTTTTTTTTTTGATGTGTTCTGTTGTTTTCCAGGTTGACTCTGGTGAAAGAAGAGAAGGAATCCATGGCCAAAGTTCTGGAGCGATTGCAGATGACTGCTTGTGGTTCCACACATGGGCGAGAGGACAGGAGGGTCATAGATGTGGTTAGGACGCTGGAGGAACAGCTTGTCAAGGAGAGAGCCAAAAGTCAACGCTCGGCAAGCAAGAGATGCCAGGAGCAGAGACTCCTAATGGAGCAGGTGGATGTTCCGCTTCTCACAGTTGTCAGCTGAAAAAGATTTATGTTGTTTTCTTGGTTGCTCAGCTGGTTTTAACTTTTTCTCCCCCATCCTGGCTAGTTGGAGGAGCTGAGAGCATCAGAGTGTGCTCTCCGTGTTCGTGTCAAGAGTCTCACCAGTGAACTGGCGTTACTACGGAGAGGGTTAGATACTCTAAGCATGTACTATATCTTTACTTTCTCTCTTTCATCCATTCACTTACAATATGGACAAACATTTAAAATGTGAATCTATTTACCTACTTAGGGCACAACTTTTTTTTGTGTGTGTCTGCAGCAGAGTGACGCCTGTGTCCGGTCACATCAGCTCTCGAGTCGATGGGGAAAGCTATCGTTCTCTATCCCGCGAGAGAAGAACAGGGTACGGGACGGTCAGGGCTCGCTCAGGATCAAGAGAACGGATACAGGACCGATTGCAAAGGTCAGATGAAAGAGGAAGAAGAGCGGATTCTTCAGGACCACGTGCTCGCATACCCAGACCTTCACCCTCTCCCACTGGTACTGTCTCTGTTTCTTTTTTTTTTTCTACATTTGCCTCTTTTGTTATATCAATAACCTAAAAGATCAAAGTGTAGAACAAAATAATTTCAAGAGAATTTGTCATTTTATCAACCACAGTCATCAAACTACGCAATAATGTGTTTTATTCCCGCCTGTTATCATCCAGGGTCACGGGTACCACGCTTTGATCCAACTGCGTACATCCAGGACAGAAATCGCAGACAGAAAGAGGCAGAAATCAAAAAGTTGGTTCCTGTTATTTTTCCATTGACAGTACTGTTGTTGGTTGGTTCAATAGTTGTAATCCTTTTTTCTGTGTCAGACAGAGGAAGGTGCGGAAGGATATGCTGACGTCACCCCTCGTCCCTGAGAGGGGACGTTCACGCTCCAGAGAGGCCTATCCTCAGATGGCCCGGTCTGGCAGCAGAGGCAGGAGTTTATCCGTGGAGCGGAGAGGAAGCAGGAACTCCTCTGAAAGCTCATTAGTGGACATGGATGAAATGGCCAAAAATTTGTTCAGGTGATGAGATTACCTTTCACAGGTTTTGTGAAGTATCTGTTGTTTCAGCCGGTTAGTTTGACATCTGTTCTTCTGTGTTTATAGAGGACGAAAAAAGACTTACAATGGACCCAATGTGGTGAGTGATATGGGAATTAATGCAACTCTGGTACACTGTTCATTGCTGCTCTCTCAGTATATTTAAAGGATAAGGTTGGGGTCATTTACATTTTACATGTTTACAGTCAATAAATCCTAAGAAAATACCAAAAACAACAGTGTTAGTCGTTCATCTCTGAGTACTGTCTGACTTCCTTAATTTAAGTCTCAGTAATTTCCTAAAACGTCTAAGCACTGGTTTTTTAAAAAAGATAAAATATTCAAGAGTAAATCATTATTTGGTGGGGACGGTTTTCAGTCTTGGATTAATAGACACTTGGTGCACTAGTGCCTATGTTTGTTGAAGCTACATAGACAACAATAGTAGAGAGGAACACAGATCAGGCTTTGGCTACACCGGCAGGGCGTGCCAGTAAGTCGGTGATGGTTTTGGTATTTTCATGGGATTTGTTGTCAATAGGAAAATATAGGATATCGCCCGCTTTATCTTATGCAATATGCAATTTATCTGTTTCTAGTCAAAAGGAGGCCTTTTAACCAGGAAGCCATTGTGTAGTACTCCAACACACAAAATGAAAGACAAAGGTAACTCATGATTTTACATTTTTGCTGCAATAAAATTATTTTAACTGGGGAAAAAACATCTGATTATTTCTATGTTCTCCATCTACAGAGAGCTCCATAGATACAGGTGCTGAGCTGTCGGAGATCGATGCCAGGCTGCAGGCGCTTCAGGAATACATGAGGGACCTAGATACAGGGCACTGACGCAGTTTAGGCTGAGGAACCGATCTTAAAACATGAGCAATGGGCTTACCTGTTCATGTGTGTTCATGTAAGACACTAAGCCTCCCTCTGGAGGGTCAGACTCCCAGGATTTCAGGAAACTACAGCCATCACTGTGAAGGACTACTTTTTGTGGACTGATATATATTTTTTTTTTTATATACCAAGTTTTTATTAATTAACTTAAAATGTGACTGTGTCTGAGTGTAGTGTCCTTTCTTCTTCACACCTCACCAAACCAACTTAACTAGTGCATACATGTAAAATTTGGCAGTACATCAATCAATTAATATTTTAATTTCCCCTTTACTTGATGTTTTCTCATCTTCCAGATCCCTTTTTTTTTTTTTTTTTTTTGATATAATACATTTTAACATGTAGCAGGTGAAGCGGATCAGTCATTTTTCATCTATTTGCACATGTACGTCCAATATTTAGTGACATTTTCTGGGATGTACCTAACAATTCATTACTGTTTTAAAATGTTGGTTATTTTAATTAATTATTTGGACTCGAGCATCAGGGGAAAAAAATCTAAATTTTAACATCTTGAAATTGCTTTTCTGTCAAATAGTCCAAAACCCAAACATGTAATTTAAAATGATATAAAACATGGAAAGCAACTAGTTCTGACATTTGAAAATCTAAAATGATCAGGTTTTCTAAATTGTTGGCAATTAATTTTATCAAATTGTTTCATCTCTAGAGTCTTCTCCCGTGCCTGTGTGCATAATCTCTACCTTTCAAAACACATCAAGTCCACCATTTTAAACTGAAATGTCCATGGGTGCAAATGTCATAGTACATTGATAACCACAGACTGTTGAACCTGTGATGGACTGGCGTTTCTTCTGCCCAGTGCATGCTGGGACACATTTCTGCAGTTTCTGCACCCTGAAACACAGTAACCAAGTAGAGAAAACGAGTGACTGCATGCTGCATTTCACTACATGATTTGGTGGTTATTTGTCATTCCTGCCAAAGTCTGCATTTTCCAGTTTATTCTTCACATTGAACTCAACATTATCAGTGCATTTAGAAATATAAATTGATACCATTATGACCTTTAACTTGCCGATCCACCAAATGGACCTAATTTCCCTTTTGAGGTTTTTTCCCCAAACTAAAACATAAAAAAGCTCTAATTGTGGATAACATTTGTGTAAGGGGGCAATACTTGACTGCTAAATTTTATAAAGAAACTGCTGTATGTGTATGTGCACAAAGACTGTTATCAATTTTCTTGGGGGGGGGGGTCTAATGCCTTTTGTATACCACTTAAAAATGTAATTTATAAGAAAGGTGTCCTCTGTGTAAAGGTTTTTTTTTTTTTTTTTTAAACATATTCCAGGCCTGTATAGTTTTGTACAAACTGCTTTCCTTTGCACTGGTTGTCAGCTGAAGTGGAGCCAGAGGGAAACCTTGATGGGTTTCCACCACTGCAGCTGGCTTGGTTTCATTAATTAACAAATAAACTTCTGAGCATGGAACCTTCCTCTTGGGAGCAAATCAGTGTCTGAACAGCTGCTCCCTTTCTGCTGGGATACTTGTGAGGGAGATAACCTTATTGTTGGTGTATGAAATGAGGAAGGTTAACTCAGCATTGACCAACTTGGAAACTGTAGTAAGCTGCAGATTCACAAAACGGCATTTGTGTAAAATGATATTCTTGAGAGGATGGGGAAATCATTATTTACATAAAACACAGAAGAGATATCCTCTCTCACCCTAGTTAATGGTTCACAAACGTGCAAAAAATTACAAGAACCAATTAGTTTTTTTGTTGATTTATTAAAGAATTATAACAACTGGTAACAAACATATAAATGTTAAACAATAGAAAAGGTAAGGCATGTATAGTAAACATCCAGTGTTGAAACCATCAACTTTATATTCTCCACAGAATATTATTTTTGGTGAGAAGCAGCTGAAGAACTACAAGGTTTTTGCCAACACTATCATTTGTACAATTTAACTACATATCCTATGAAAGTTAAAGTGCTCAGAGCTACAAATCAAAACTGAACATTGCAATAATGTGACACTTGAAACTCTTAAGGATTGGAGATATGGTTCTATAACACCTGATTACATGCTGCTGCTATGTTGTATTAATGTTTTGGGTGCAGTGCACTCTTGTTACCATATTGGTTAATGATACATTCAATTCACTGTAATGAAGAACAAAGGCATTGCTGTCTTTTCCCACTACAACACAATGACACAGTCTGTCTGGGCTGGTTCACAATGATCATGGTCGTCTGCCTCACTGATTTCTTCGACTGTTCAGTATGGCCTGAATGCTGAGTGTGAGCTGTGGAGAAATATGATTGAAACCTGAGAATGGCTGTTTGGGCACATATGCACAAATAAACATGCACACACACACACACACACACACACACTCACGTGTAATATGGACTTACGGTTTGTTGCTGTGCAAGGATGTCTCGATAAAAGGCCTGTCTACGCTCCTGCTCCTTCTCATCACACAGTCTCCAAATCTCAGCCTTGGTCTTAATGTGGTCTTCAGGCAGTTGAGGATACTGGTGCCACTGTTACACAATTAAATCAATGTTCACACAAAAGGTACAAAGAATATTCTGAGCCTCAGCTGATCTTAAGTGTAACACACAGTAAGGTTGATAATTGAGAACCATTATCAGCTGCACAAAAAAAAAATCAAATTAATGTGCACACACAACTCATGAATAGGGATGGGTACCGAAACCCATTATTAAACAGGCCCAGGGGAAAAACTTTTAAAGACCGGAGTATCGATAAGCTCCAACATTATCGGTTCTGTTCTGGGTACTTGAGAAATTAAGAAAATAGATTTCCTTTTTATTATTGCAATATAAAAGTGCTTTTGCACTTACAGATGAGAATACAGTTAAAGGACCAGATCGATAAATGGTATCAACAAAAGTAGTAGTGCCTTTAAAATCTTAACGATATCCATCCCTACTCATGAAGGCAGTCATGAGCACGAACAGTCAAAGCACGCTCAAGTGGGAAGTTTTATCATGTCTTGTGACATTTTCTGTCTTATTTTCAACACATAAAAATCCTCCCTTTAGTGCACACAGATACTAACACAGCAGTTTCTACTTTCTGTCCTTGAACACAGAATTCCTTTGACACAAGACAAGATACAGTTGTATCTCTCCCAGGAAGGAAAAGGATTAAGAGCCTGGGAGATCGACTGTTCATTATGTCACACAACTTAAGTTCTCTATAAATGATAACAGACAAAGAAGCTAAAAAAGAAATGATCACAATATTCAGACATTATAATAGACCTTTCACAACTTTTTTAAAAGGGTATTTATGTATGGGATGAATTGAGATGTGAGAATTGAGATTTTTCATAATTAATTGAAAAAAAAAAAAATGCAAATCACAGTTTCCTAAAGCACAAGGTGATGTCACTAAATTGCTGGCTTTGTCTGACCAACAGTCCAAAATCCAGTTTTAATCTCACATAAGACAAAGCTCCGCTCCGACCTGAAGGTGTTCAAATGTATTGTATGAACGGAAAACACAGCAGGTCAAAGAGAGGCTGGTGATTCGATCAGTAAAATGACATCTACTTGATGTTGCTTACTGCTACTATTGCTGCTCTTCATTGCAAAGTCATTGTGACAAAATGTAACCATGATTATTTATTTCACCTCAAAAATGAAACCATAATGCTACCTGAACAAAAAAAATTCCAGCTACATCTGCAGCAGTGCTTCAGTGAAATGTTAAAAGCCGACACAGCCATAAATCATCCATACGCTGAGGGCGCTTAGACACAGTATAATAATAACTCATGATTATGAACATACTGTATATTTAATAAAACATACTGTAGGTGTCAGACACATCCTTCCTCGTTTCCAGCTTGTTTTCATTACTGTAAAAAATTCACCCTGATTTTAAATACTTTTATTTACCACATGACTTAGAGTCACTCACCACTCGTAACAGGTAGTCTTCAATAGTGTGAGACTTCGTCTTCTGCATTGACAAGAAGGCCACCGATACATTTTTTCTGCACTTGTTAAGCAATTCCTGCAAAGAAATTTTATATAAAATGTTGTATAAGACACAAACATCACCAGTAGCAATTCTAAGAAAAAGTTTTAGAAAATTATATGTATTTATACCAATAATTCTTCATTGCTCTTCTTCTCCAGAGTTTCCTGGCTCGCACTGACTGAAAGGTTGGATGTGTTTGACTGAAGAAAAACACAGGCACACATTTACATACAGTAAGCAGACAGCATTATGACGTAGAACCCAGAGTATAAAGTCTTGGGCATCATGATGTGGCTCATGATAATTTACGATTTGCAGTGTGCAGCGTTTTACCTCGGCCTCGTACTCAGCCCAGGCATCTTTGCGTTCTGCTTCACTGAGCTCCTCCTCTTGTTTATGGTCCAGCAGAGATTCATGCTCGTGGTATGACACTATCTGGTCTTTACAGGTTTGCAACAGTTGTGCCAGGACCTTATCCTGAGAATCAGACACAAAAAGTGATTCCATATTGCAAGTTCATCATGTAAGGATTTGTCACACTGCTGTGTGTCATATTTTTGTGGCGTCGAAGCAGAGACCTGACAATAACAACTGTGACATCACCTTTGGCGAAACAGAACTGGGTCTCTTGCTTTTCTTAGAGTTTGGGTCGTTCAGCAGGTCCGGCTCAAATATATACAGTTCAGTCAGTTCAAAAAGGGTGAAGTGCCTCTCAATCTGCTGCTGATCTACCACTCGATAGGACAAAGACTGCTTGGTCACCTGACGATCATAGATCTTCTCCTCCATGGTGCCCTGGAGATGAAAATAACAGCAATAAAAAAAAAAAAAAAACAGACTGGAAGATTTTATAGCTTTGGTAAAAATACAGCAGCTCCAGGAAATCCATGTCCAACACCTTATTTTACTTCTTTTTTTTTTTTTGTTTGTGAAATTAAATTCTTAGAGAATTCATCAGTAATGGAAATAAGAAGGATTTCATCCATCATTGTTAAATCTTTTTCATGTTTAAACTCTTAATATTTACATAACATACATAATGCAGCTCAGGACCCTTTACATTTAATCTCAGAAGATTCACACTGATACCATTAAGTTTCTTTATTTAGATAATAGACAAGGATAATCATGGGAAAATTCTTATTTACATATAACAAAACCTATAAAAGTAAA